TTCTAAATGGCCAAGCTGTGTGCTTGATGCTGACTTTTAGGGCAAGCCAGGTCAGTGATCCAGGCAGGGCCAGGATGAGGGTCTTGAAGCCCAGTTCCTCAGGATGAAGCCATAGACTGCAGATACAGAGTGGAAAGCAGACTGACTAGTTTAATGATCAGCTTGCTTGCTCAAAGTTGTCAAACTGATTACCCTTTTTTTTTTTTTTTTTAAAGGAAAATGTTCTTCTGTTCTCATTAAAAACAGAATTTAAGAGGTTGGTTGACAAGATAGTATGTATAAGCCCATCTTGGTGATACAGGTCTCAGCCCTCCAATAGGTGAAGCTGTTACATCTCCTGGAGCATTGTGTGGTTCCTGTGTAAGCAACTGCCCAGCTTTCTGCTCAAGGGAAAGAACGTAAATGTCTGCCCAGGTCTCACCCCAGTGCTGTTGCAACAGGAGTTGCTTTGTGTGGTCAGGACAGCTGTTGAACTCAGAGGCAAGAACACTAGAGCACCTCACAAAAGCTAACATACATTGTGTCCAGGAAAAGCAAGGCATTAGGAGCCATAAATGGCTTGTAGTATTTCACTGGGGATAAATACACCAGCCTTCTGTTTCACCTAAATCAAACACTGGGCCAGGTGCAGTCCTCTTCAGTGGAAAAGACCAGGTTGTGACAGATGGTTTCTCCATTCTCCTCTCTCCCTTGGAGCCATCTTAATTACAGATAGTTCTAACGTACCTATGCATTAAATCCCTTGAGACAAATTAACAGGGTCAATGCATGGATAGGCATTAAACTAATATGTATAGTCATAAAACAATGACGTCATCCATATTTCAGGCTGCCTCATCCTAATTTTATACCAAAATGTGTTACATCAACAGTAGTTTCATTTCCACATGCTAATAATGAACCTAAACTTCCTATAAATTAGCAAAAGATTATCCACAGCTACACCTATCCACAAAACAAAGGTTTGAAATCTCATGCTGCACTCAGGTGAGCGATGGGGAATTCCATGCATTGTCCTTGGTCAAGTCATAGGTGTGCCTTAGTCCAGACAGGGCTACGGCAAGGTTTGGCAGATGGTATGGCTGGGGCTGGCAGTGTTCCCAGCTGAGGTATCATTACAGAATTCCAGGAACACTCTCAGAGACTCCTGCTTACACATGATGGGGATGACCAAAAACAATGAGCTCAATGCACAGAATAGGGACAATACTTCACTGTTTAATAAATCCATTTTTACTGAAAAAAAAGAACATTTTAATCAGAATACTTTTTTCCCCCATATATTTCTCATGTACTTTTCAGTATTGCTGCTTCAGATTGCAGTTACTTGTCTGTTTCAACTCTATTCCAGCTTTCATGCAAATATAACTTGATAAAGATCACGAGAAAAATGAATATGCTCAACCACTGACACCAACAGCACACTTACCATTTCCTATCTGACAAAAATTGTGAAAGAAAAACAAGGCACATTTCTATCATATATTGCTATATATGTTCAGTTAAATATTTTGTATAATAGTGAATTCTATTTATTAGTAAAAATACATTCAATCCTTAACAAAAGGCTATCTTTACCTAGAAAATTAACATTATCTTTGAAAGAGAAGCAGCACTAAGAAAAGAGGAAAAAGAGAAGAAAGAAATCAAGTATAAGTAAGTTTGTTAACAAATTTGCTTATTTGTATTATGATTAAAATTCACATAAATTCATCTCTCTGTCTGGATTTTTCTCTTTTTATTGTGCACATATAAATGCTCAGGGTTTCAGAGGAAGACTCCATAATGCCCAACCTAAATCCTTTGGTATATTGAGGCTTGTAAACAGATTGCAAGATGAAAGCAAAGATTAAAAGGTAGCAATGAGCTGCAAGGCTAGAAACCTGAATTAAACCCATTAAGATAGATTTGAATAAGCAAATAGGTAAGGAACAGCAAGCTGGGCTGATGACTTTCTTCTGAGAGTGCAGAAGTTGTAACCCTGTGAAGAGCTGCCACGCATGGTAAAGCATCAGACCACCTCATACTCATGGCCCAGAGACTATTGATGTCCTGTTGAAAGTTCACCCATCAAGGGAAGCCCTGCTGTGATAAATCAAACGGAAAGTGACAGCTTTGCTCTTCAGCCACAAGGACATTTAACAAAATGCCTTTGCCTTACTTGTGCAAAGCAAGAGTCCCACGAGTAAGTGTAAATACCCTGCACACTTGTTCAACTCAGTGCTAAAGAGCTGTGAAGGGGTTATGGAGAGTGGGAAATACAACAAAGATGGAAAAATTTTAAATTCTGAGGACCTGCTCCCTGGGTCCTAAGGCTGAACTTCCATCTGCTCTAGCAACATAATTAAATGTTTGCTAACTAATGACAGTATGTGGCTTTTGTCACCAAGAGAACAGACAGTGGTAAACAAATCCCTATTTACAAGAGGTAGGGAGGAGGGAAATGTGACTCTGCTGCTGAAATTAGAGATAAACAAAATCACACCGCTTAGCTAAAGAGCCTGTCTAGACAGAGGAAATGGAAAAAAACAAATGACAAAAGCTTGATGTTTTTCTTCTGAGAGAGAAAAATGATTCTGCAGCTGGGCAAAAGTCTTCAGAACCAAGAATGTGAAGACTATGATGTCAAGTCCACTGAACATCACCTATTTTGTACCACAGAATAAGGCAGCCCAGCCATAGCAAGATCGCCATAATTCTGAAAAGTATGACAAAATTCTAAAGTACAAACAGCTAAGGAAAACAGTGAGAAAATCAACCAAGTGGATTTTGCTTCTAAAAATATAAGAGCTGTAGCAGCGGAAGTAAGGTTTAATTTCAGAAAGAAGTATTCTACTTTGAACTCCTGATTCTAAATAATCTGTCCATGTGAAGATCTGTTTCAGAAAAGTCAGAACAGAATAATTACTCCATAACACATCAAACTTTCCCATCACCTTAACCCCAAGCGGAAAAGAGCGTGCTTTTAAGTTGAAAGCTTTAATGCCATTCACCAATAATGGAATTTCTTTATTCCAGCAGTGAATCCGAGCTCTTTAAGCTCCCCTTTACAATGAGGACTTTTGTTCCATTTTCTATCTAATGTAAATGTTTATGGCCAATTTAGAGTCCCAGATTATGTACTATGCAGCTGCTAGAAGAATTATGAAATAATTCTATCTCTTCACTGTTGTGTATAACTGGGACTTTTTCCCTTTTTGCCAGATGGAGTGGGAGAAGGCACACAGCACATATACAGCCACAAGCTGCCATACACTAAGCAGGCATTCCTGAAAAATGAGACGGGGATTTGACAAAGAAGCAATTCTTCTCATATGGCTTAACAAAATGGCAAGGTAGCAGGCATGCATGCAGACACCAAAGAAATGCAGTTTGAACATGTACACACAGTGAAGAAGGAGTGGGATTGCCAGCGGGAGGAGATGCTGTCTTTCAGGCAGCTCAAATGTTAATTTCTTTAAAAGATAAAAATCAGTGGATGACTGAGTACTGGCCTGAGATTTTGATTAGTGTAAAATGAGAATGAATCTTCCAATGCCCTGATGGCTTGGATTGTTTTTAGGGTGGATCACCACTGTTAAACCACTACTACTTCATCCATGAGAGCAGAGGCAGCATGCAAATCCTTTACAGTAACCAATTTCCCTGCATCCCTCTGAACCATTAATTTTCCTCATTACCTTTTCCTTCCTCAGGTATCTGCTGCCCATCAAAGTCAATCATGTCAACTGAGAGTGAAGGATGCAGAAATGGGAGACGATGAAGGTGGCAGTACCAGGTATCAAATGACTGTTGAGGGAACACTGAAATAAAGGGTAGGGAAGCAGCAGACAGCAGGGCCTTGTCATGCTGTGTTTTGGTCTGTTGACTGGAAGCAATTAACTTCTGTGAAGGATAGGATGTCTTTTGTGATGACTGGGAATCAGTCTTATCCCAGACCTATCGCAAACATGTTAACTTAAACTCCCTAGGTCTTTTTTTTTTTTTTTTTTTTTTTTTTTCCAATTTACAAGATTTGAATTCTGTTTCTGTCTTTATAGGTGCAAGGAGACAAGAGGCTTTGAATATTTCATGGGACATTCATATTACTACTATTATTGAGTTTATTTCAGAGCTGTTCATCCCAGCATATGGATGCTCCACCGGCACCTGTGTGCTTGCACCCTGGATCGGTCTGGGAGCTGGGAAACACACTGACCCTGTAGAAACCTCACTGCTCTTCCTCCTTTTCTGCTAAAGAAAAAACCCCTTAGGGATTATTTTTTGGGGGAGGCTAACTGCTAATGTACACCATGGAGTCACAAAATGGTTTGCTCTGAACTTCAGAAAGAGTGGTGATGCAGTGGCACGGGCTGCCCAGGGAGGCGGTGCAGTCCCTGGAGGTGCTCAAGAAGGATGGAGATGTGGCACTGAGGGACGTGGTCAGTGGGCACGGTGGGGATGTGTCAACCTTATGGATGCGATCATCTTGGAGATCTTTTCCATCCTTAGCGATGTTTTGACTCTGTGATAGCACTGTAGCCACACTAACATCGAAACTTAGCTATCATCAAGAAGCTAAATATCCTTCAGTCTTCAGCAGATTGCTGTCCTTAGGAAGCAGTGTAAAATTTTCAGATAAGTAGTGAAAGCCAAAAATAACTAAGCCACTACGAATACCACCCAATGGCATTAGACAAGAGGAAAAGTTGGCTCTTGATGTATTAAGGACATTTCTGTCAGACCCCGGCCTCCACCTGAAAGTCTTTAGCTGACTCTGCAGTTTGGGAATAAACCCAGCGCCACGCTAGTCCTGCGCTAAAATAAAGCCTCGCTGGCTGAAAGCGGGTGACTATCTCCCAATTGCCGTGCAATGCTTTTGGCAGCGCTACAGAAGACAGAGGTCATGAAACCAAGAGCAGCTTCCCCTCATGATTTTCCTGTATCGTTCCTTGTCTGGGGGCAGCGTTTCAGGCTCTGCCAAACACGAATAAGGAGGCGGCCGCAGTGGGGAAGCAAAACCCGCCCGCCGCGCTGCCCCGACACGGAGCCCGGGGACCAACGGCCGCGGCCGCCTCCCGCCCCGCCCGCTGCCTCACGGCGGCCGCCAGCCTGGGCGCGGGACGGCACGCATGCGCGGGAACGGGGACTTGTTGCTCGGGCCGGTAACTCGGGGCCGTGCGGCGACAGAGGGAGGGCGGGGGGCAGCGGGGCCGCGGGGCCGCGGACGTGAAGGTAGAGGGGGGAGGGCGGGCGGGCAGGGGCGGCGTGAGGCGGCCGCGGGGCGGGAGAGAGGGCGAGGCGAGCCTTGAGGGGCGGCCGCGGGGCGGGAGAGAGGCCGAGCGGAGCCGAGCCCTGAGGGGCGGCCGCGGCGGTGCTGCCCGCTCCACTCAGCCCCTCAGAGGGAGCAGCGCGGGTCTCGGTGCTCGCGTTCCCTGCCACGTCTCGTGGGGCTGCAGCCGCGCAGCTCCACCTGGGGGTGTTGCTGTTCTCGTTATGTTCTTAACAGATACCTCGTTTAAAAAGTAAAGGCTTACAAAATCGGACGCTGTATCTGATGGGCTGGGTGCGTTGCTACCGTTCTAACCCGCGGTCTCTGTGATTGATGTGTCGTAAGGTCCCGCAGCGTGCTAAAAACTGCTCTTCTGTCAGCACTGAATTTCTTAGAAAGCAAGAACAGGTTCGCAGCGCACATCGCAGCGCGCTTGTCGGCCGGGACGAAGGCTGCCTCTTTTCTCCCCCAGCTTTGTGCGGTCTAACATTGAGTAAATTCTGGTTTGGGAGGAGCGTTCTCCCCTGCTAGCTGTTCTGTGTTTACTTATGTTGTGGTTTTTGTTTTGTTTTGCTTCTGTTTAAAAAGAGATCTTGTGGTTAATCGTATTCTTTCATTTATGTCCTCCAGAATAGCACTGTCATGTGTGGCCTTCTTGTAGAGGTGTGATATCCCCGAAGTAGTGCATATAGGCCTGTGATGAGGACCTGCAGCCTTTGATTCCAAAGGATAGAGCTTTTTGGGGTATGCTTTCTTTATGAATTTATCAGTCAGAAGCGTGTTCTACATGGAGCACATTTTTCTCTGAAGTGGATAAGAACCATCCCGTTTATAGGGTCCAAGAAAAGCAATGCTTGAAGCTGGAAGTCTCAAAATAAGTGGGCAAGCTGTATGCACTGATTAAAAGGTGTTTTTGTCAGTAGCTGAGTCTTGTGTGTTGTCTACTGAATAGTTTGAGCAAGTCAATTGAATAAATGAGGTAAATGGCTATTCTCTTAAAAAAAAAAATGAAAATATTCTTTTGTGTAAGCAAGGTACTGTAGTCACTGTGCCTGTTCTCTTAGCTAAATTCTCCTGTTGAAAAGGAAAACATGCAATGTCCAAAGAACAGAGATAGAGGAATGTATTTGTGTAGTAATTCTTTTCAGGAGAATTAGTGACAATTTTGTTAATGATCTCAACGCCTTGCCGTTTATGAGCCAGTATGGTCACAAGTGCTCATCAACTAGGAACAAAGTCTTTGAACTGCTGTAATGTGTTAGAATAGAATGTCTAGTGCCCTGTGTTACTCCCACAGTCAGAATCCAGCCTGAAATAAGTAGTTTAATGTTATAGATTAGATGATAGAAAGGTCTGTGTGTTCTTCAGTAGCTTTCCTCAGGTGTCGGTGGAAAACGGGATCGGTTAGATATCAGGCATTCTCACTTGGACACTGCCAACAGCTGAGTCTATCAATTATTGTGAGAGTATTTCCCAGATAAAGAGGAGTGATTTTCAAATATGACTGTTTTTTCCAAAGTAGTTTCCTTGTTGAGTCTTCCTGTGCTTTTCTTTCAGTACATCTTACAAATATCAAGCTGGCTTTTCACGTAGTTTCTTCTTTTCTTTTTATTAAAGGAAAGGCAAGATGAGCCCTTTCTTCTTTCTGGGTATTGGACATTCTCATCTGGCCTATTCTAGGAATAGAAGTGGATTTTTCAACTCAACAAATGAAACTTACTGCTACAGCACAGCCCAGGGCAGCACAGTGCTCCAGGGAGTAACTTTCGGTGGAATCCCAACTGTCTTGCTGCTTGATGTCACCTGCTTTTTTGTAAGCCTGTTTTCTCTTTATTATATTGAAAATACTGGGACCTTCTCAAAAGTTACAGATTGTACTGGATTCTGTGTTTATTGGGTAGTGATTTGTTTCTCAGAATCATCAAAAATAACAAATATGCTAAGGCCAACCTGGGAACTTCAAGGCTGTTTTCAAGTACTAATAACAGTGATGCTGTCATCCCACCTGTATGTGAACTGCATGTTGGATGTATAAATGTAGGAAGACTGCAGAATGATTGGGTCTGTGTTTAGAGCCATGGTGCTCTTTGAAGTGGTAACTCAAACTTCTATATTTTGTCTTATTTTTTTCCATACTCTGGGTATACTTCTGGTAAGGGAATGCCATCGCTAAATTGCTTGTCCAGAGGAAAAAATGTCCTGATTGTTTTGCAAGAGAAGTTGCAATATGGAAAATCTGTCACTTCCCAAGTGCTTGAATTAGATTTCATAAAGCAGTCAAAGAAATAGTGTACTAAGAAGCTCAGTCTGGATAAAAGGAAGAAATGGATTACTTTGCTAAGGCAGACCTGGGATTCCCATAAAATTTTTGGTTATTTTTATGAGTTTGGTCTCAGTGTTCTTAAGTCACTAGAAAAAATAAGAGCTGTAGGCTGGCAGATTGGTATGATAATTGAGGTTTCTGATGATAAAATCAGACTGAAGGGATCACAGTTCCCAACTTCTAGAAAGCCATGTGAGGAAACTTAAAACTACCTATGTGAGGTCTGAGCTGGTAGTTCTGTAAGAACTAGAAGATGTACCTAAAGTTAATCAGTGGCATTTAAAAAAATTTTGTCAAATTTTTTGTTTTTTTTTTTCCTAAGTTGTGGTTAAATATAAAGATACTGAGCCTCTGTACCGCACCTTCACCTCAAACAGGAAGAACTAGCTGCAATGCAGAAGACTTTTCTTGTTCAACTACTGAGTACTTCAATTTATTTAGCAACTCCTGTACTCCTCCTATGTTTATGACATGTTTATTGCAGATCCCTTTAATAACTGCCAGTTAATGGGTTTCTGAATATTATTTCTAGCCTGGTTTCCTGAGGAAGTGAGGCTCATGCGTTGCATTATCCACCCATTTTGCCTGTCAGTTCCTCCTACTAATGGCTGGAGAACATATTAGCCAATTTAAACCTGAGTTGTCTTAGTCTACAGAGCATTTGGCATCACTGAAATTTATGAATTGCTTGAAGCTTAATGGACAGATAAAGGAAAAGGATCTCAACTTTTATTTCCTGTTGGGGAGAAAGTTATTGTAAGAAGGCTTTATTTATTGCAAAATGCGGAAGTTAGCTGAGTAATCTTGACATGTATCCTGGCTGACCCTTCAATACTTTCATGGCATGAGATAAGTTACATCACTGGCACTACTTTCTGGCCAAACAGGTATGGGATGTAGGAGGAGCTGGAAGGCAAGAGTGTATGTGTTAACATGTGCATGGAAAACAGGTCTTGTTAGTTCTGCCTCTTACAGAGCAGGTTCTTCTTAAAAATAATAATAATAATAATAATAATAAGGCTGTACATCTTTGAAATACATTGATTAGTATGTTTTTTTTACCTAGCCTCTTTCAAAAAAAGGAAAATATTGGGAGAAAGTAAAAAAAAAAAAAAAAAAATGTTTCTGGGTTTTATGAATTGTACTAATGCATTACTTATTACTGAGTAGGATATAAAATAATTCTGGAGAAAATGGTTAAACTCCCTATAGCCAGTTACATTAATGTTAAATAAAAAGTAATTTAAAAAACTGCATTGGAAGTCTGCTGTCATAGTCTGGGTGCAAGTAAAGGAAAACAGTAAAGATGTATATGTGAAAGCTTTGAATTCTTGTCGTTCACAAACCTGGATATGCATTCAGTTCAGAAATATGACATTCAGAATTCCTTCATAAATGAGAACAGGAAGGTGGCTCTTTTGGTCCTTTGGTCCTGGTAGGTTGGTTTGTAGTGCGATCACCACTGGGGCTGTTAACGTGAGATAGCTGGTTTAAGACCTAGGACAGCATTTTTTTTTTTAACAGTACTTATGCACCCAAGAAAGCTGATTACAAAATAAAATATAAAAATCTCTATTTTTATTTTCTAGATTTTAATATTGTTGTTTTCCATTATAAGGAAGAGGTTCTGGGACTACGGACGCGTTGCTCTTGTGTCAGAAGCTGAAGGGTAAAAAGATATGCAATCACATTGATTTGTTGAAACCTTCTGGGAAATGTAAAAGCAGTGGAGTTAAGCAGGGATTAATTTAAGTGAATTTGTATCAGTTAGATATTGGTAATCACATACATGTACTTGTTAAAAATGTAATCCTCCTACTTTGTTTGAAATGTGTTCTGTTGCAAGTTCCTCTTTGCAGTGTTAGTTTGAAAACTGCTTGTTTGCCTTTGTCATTGTAAATTCCCTTCTCTGGCTGTGGGTTAAGGAAGTGGATGTAAAAAAAAGAGAGAATGGGTTGCTTGTCTGCTAACAAGTCATGTGGCTACGTATTAATCTTTACAGTGCTTCTGTGACAGAAGGATACTGGCTGTTGTGCATGTCTCGATTCAGGCCCAGTATCTTGCCAGAGCTCCTCTACACAGGCTGTATCATGAAGGGTTTAAAAATAATTTAAAATATAATGTCTTCTAACAGGTTTCTGAAATTCCCCACTGATTTTTAGTGAAAACTGAAACTGAGCTTTTGATTTATTTATTTGTTTTTATTTTTACTAGTATTTCTATGAGGTGATGTCTCGATGTTCAAAAACTAGTAATCTCTTATGAAGTGGATAAGCTTTACAAGTGAGACTCTTGCTTGTTTTAATGATATAACTAAATTGATAGAATCGTAGATTGGCCTGGGTTGAAAAGGACCTCAAATATCTAGTTTCAACTACCCTGCCACTGGCAGGGTTGCCAACCACCGGACCAGGCTGCCCAGAGCCACATCCAGCCTGGCCTTGAATGCCTCCAGGGATGGGACATCCACAACCTCCTTGGGCAGCCTGTTCACCACCCTCTGAGTGAAAAACTTCCTCCTAATATCTAACCTAAATCTGCTCTGTTTCAGTTTAAAACCATTTCCCTCCTATCTCTAAGTTGTAGTTAATACACAGTTAAGCAAAAGGAAATGACTCAAAGTGTTTCTAGACTCAATCCATGTACACATGTGAAAATTAGGTGTGCAAAAAAAAAAAAAACAAAAAACAAAAAACAAAAAATGATGGGCAATAATTGAGGCAGCTTTAATCTAGCCAACTCAGGCAGCAAGAATGAAGATGCTCTAGTATAAGCTTCTTTGTGGGCTGTATTGATCTGCATGGGACGAGCAGGTACTTGAGCAGTCAGTTGCACTGCAGTCTGTTCCTGTCCCTACAGCATTGTGGCCTAGGCCAAAATTATTGTTAATACATCTACAGATCCCGTAATTATGTGCACATCACCATTGCAACATTTCTTTTTAGCAACTACAGGGCTGAATTTGAATGAGGAGGGCACCCTGCAGGTAAAGAGAAATTCTGAGTAGTGGCTGTAAGTTGAAGGGAGAGAGGTAGAGGGAAACAAGTTGGTCTCTTGCGATGAGGAATATCTGAGATACCTTGCAGAATTGATCTTGCCTAGACTTAAAAACCTGTTTTGTGTTCATTTATGTGAGTGCAGGTTAATACCTCAATAAAATGCTCACTTTTATTTCTAGTTCAGTTACTGTCATTTCAGGAGCTCACAGGTCCTGACTTTTGAACGTGAGGTACTGTACAAGCTTCTATAGCTAGGCATATGCTACGAGGTGAAAACCACTGCCTTTGTAAGTGGAAAAAGTGTTTTAATATTATTTCAGGTAGTTACTTCAGAATTGTTAAAGTGGAAATAATTATGTGAAACTCCAGCCTCAGTTATGAAAGATACTTGAAAGCATCATTTAATTTATTTCAGTGGAGTAAGATATACCCACTCATCAGCATCTTCATCAGCACCTGAAGTTCTTGAATATGACAGTGTAAGTATTTTAGGGTTTCTTTAAGTTTTTCTGATATAAACTACTTAATGCAGTTTGTTATAATTTGCCATTCCACCTTGCCCAATGTATTAGTCTATACTTCTATATAGATGGTCTTTCAGTGTAAAAGTTAGTAGTACATCACGTACTGTGTTTTTATAGAACTGTTAATAATTTCTCTGTTTCTTGACAAGTTATTGTTGTATAAGAAATCAGTATCTTGTGTCAATGTTGTTAAATAACTCAATTAGGAGAGGGATTATAGATTGTAATATTAAAACTAGTTAGTAGTGGAAGAAATTTTTTTGTTAAACTTAGCAATTCTATCATTGAAACTGTTGAATAAAAATGTCTCTTGAATACTAACATGAAAGAATAGGCCTTTTGTAGGAAGATGTGGTTTCTTTGTTCTTAACCATACTACAACATTCAGTGAGATATTATCTCTCCTATACTGTTTCACAGGAGGGTTTTTAAATCTAGATGATTTCTAACTAGAGTTTAAGATATTAACTTGTATAAGATTCTCATACAGCTTCTCCTTGAAATTGGAATCTCTAAAAGCGTTTTTTTTTTAGGGGGAGAAAATCACCGTTCTAAAATTGTGCATGAAATACCATTTTCATAGTGAGATAAAATCTTGACTTTTCTTCAGTGAGGATGGGATCTGGACACACTTCTATAAGTTTAAGGAGCCCAAGCAGTAAATATACAAGAAATGGCCCTCAAATACACTGTGAAGACAAACATACAGATTACCTTTTAGAAAGTGTGTAGAGCAATAGGTATTTTTCTGTATGTATTTTCTGTGTTTTTCTCTTTCTAAACAATGATTTCAGACTATCTGGCTGCCAGCTTTTTAGCTAAGAGATTGGCTTAATAGAAAAAGTCCGTAGTATCTTCCTTGTTCTATTAAGAGAAGTGTTTCTATGTTAACTCCTACAACTTTTTTCTTTCCAGGGCTTTTGTTCTTGGATGGCGGCTGCTTTTCGGATGCAGTAAGTACAAAAAATAAACAGTAAATCACATTTTAAAATTGTTTTTATTAAAAAAAAAAAAAAGACTTTTTGCGCTCCTTTTTTTTACTATCCTGAGTAGACAGAATTCTAATACAAAGGGCAATGCAGGTGCCTCCAGTGTGTGGGCAGTAGTGGGTTGGGGAAAAAAAATGAAACAAGGTGACTATATAGGAATGCTTCTCCAGGATACACTTGCCCTACAGTTGACAGGCCAGAGACTTCCTGATCTAGGAACAATGTGTGAACTGAATTGAATCTAGGCCATTTGTATGGATTCTGAGCTAAGAACTTGGCTCCAGGCTTACACCCTTCAAAGGGTACTGTGTGGGTGTTCCCCTGTTTGAAGCCAGTAGGCCCTTGAGCAGGAAACATGGTTTCTGTGCAAGCAATTCTGTGGAGAACGGTGACTTAGCTGGGGCTGGAATTGCAGGACAAAGAAATCCCATCCTGTTGTTTCCCAGAGAGTAAGCACTAGACATGTGTTGGTTCTTTATGTCTCTTGGAGCTTAGTAAATAATGATTTTTAAAAATGCATTTCTAGCTTGGATACCTTGAAACAAGAAAGTAGTGCAGTTGAGACTTTCTCCCCTTTTGCTTGTCCCTTCCTTTCTCAAGAACTCATATTTTACTCATCTGTCTTGCTGAAAATGAGTAGATGCTGAGTTCTAAGGTTAAGGTGGTTCCTCATCATTTTTCGCATAGGAAGCCTTTCTTGAAGTGTGTGAACACCGTCACAGTGTGACCCTAAAACTTGAGATCTAGGCTTTCCACTGTGGCTGTCTTAAAGCAGGAAGTTGTGACAGATGTCTTTGTCCTCTTCCAGCTTGATATAAGGAATGTGCATGCATATTTTCACATTACTTGTTTTCATCTTAAATTTCATTATTAATTTTTGTATATTGATTCTGTGTAAGAAAAAGACACTTCTGAAACTCAAAACAATTAAACTTCTAGATGAGAGAACACAGTGGTGTTGAAAACTGATAGGAATTGAAGGGGAAGTCATTGGGTTAACTGAGAAAAGAATGTATGTTCAAAAACCCCCAAACAAAGAATCCAACAGGTACTAAGTAGACTGATTATGTGCTTTTTTTGTCTATGATGTAGTGATGATGAGATTCATGATAGATGTGGTGAAGATGCCATACATTACCTTACCTTCCAACGTCACATCATCTGCTTGTTGGTTGCTGTCAGCATTTTGTCTGTTGGTGTCATATTGCCTGTCAACTTATCAGGTGATCTTCTTGGTAAGAATTTTTTTTAATTCTGAAAGGAATTAGCTTTAATGCCATTGTAAAAGCTTTCAGGACCTCTTGTTTGTTTGCTCCCTTCTGCCCCGGTTTTGTCCCATTTTGAGTAGCAAATCATTTTCCCGAGGCTTTGTCAGTGCTGACTGGGCTGAAAGAATTGTTTCATGTTTCTTGCAGTCTTAATCCTGATCGACTGGTACTCGACAAATACAATGTGTCCTCTAGTCTAACTCTGCAAACCAATATTAATTATGATTCTAAATTGCTTTGATGTTGAAGTAGATCAACATCTGAAAAAAAAGAAAAAAAGAAAAAAAGGCTTTTTCAGCTTGCAGGTGAATTTTATACCAGCTCATGATGCTATGTGGTTTTTTATTTTTTTCCTTCTTAGTTAAAGATCCCTACAGTTTTGGAAGAACAACTATACAGAACTTAGAAACTGGGTGAGTAAATCTTGGAAGGTACTTTTATGCTTATGTCTGTTTCCTGCCATAGTTTCTGAATACATGCATTGATGCTTGCTACGTGGTTCTCAGGGGTAGGAATTACTTAATTATGCTTTGTCAACTGAAATCAGGATGTGTTCTGCTTCAGGCTATGTGTTATGGCTCTGATAAGAAATCTATGATCTTGGCTTCTGCTCTCTCAGCTCTTTTTTTTTTTTTTTTACTACCTGTTTGTCTTGGCTAATGATTGCACATCTAACTGTATTGTTTTCAGAAATACCTATGCTAGAAGAAACCGTGCTGTGGAAAGGAAAACAAAGCTTATAACTTTACTGTAACGTGTAACCCAGATAACTTAAATTTTCTTGAACCAGATTTGTGAATCTCTCTCCCATTTGAGGTCACAGTTCAAATAACTTCATTTAAAAAAAAAAAAGTCTGTAAAAATGGTTGCAATACTAATCTGTACAGGTGTTCTCTTATGTCATTATTCAAAACTTCTCTATCCATGCTATAGTGTCCAATAGAATATTTGCCAATGCACTTTGCTTTTATCTAACTGTTATGATTCTTAGTAGCTAGTGAGGATTTTGTTGTTTGGTTGGGTTTTTATCTGCAAAATAGATTTTGTAGATCCTGTATTTTATGTTAACTTATTAGTCGTACTCTTCACAAAACTGAAGAGCTGCATACAGAACACTTTTCTGTTTTTAAGTTTGGAGGAAGGAGCCATCAGAAAAGTGGGGTTTAGCCTCTGAATTAGGATGCTTCTGGTTTGGATAAGGATTGTATTCAAGGGAGTTCAGTTATACATTCAGCACAGTAACCACTGACTAATAAAAAACTAGCTAATAAAATCTTGGCTAATATCATGGAGCTTCCTATTAGTCATCTGAATGCAAATGCCCAGTGTTGCCTAAAATTAGCTGTTTTCCTTGCACTTTCATTAATTGTGCATTGTAAAATGTGTTGGGTAACCCTACTGGCTGTCCAAGGGTCTGTATGTGCATGAGTGTTTTATCAATTACTACCTTTTTTGTTGTTTTGTGTTTAAAGAAAGTCATCAAAATGCTAAGCAGATTAAAACCTATGTGTATCAGTAGGATAATTAGTTCTTCCTGTTTCTCATATTCATAAAATTTTGTCCAACAGTAACAATCTTCTTTGGCTGCACACATGTTTTGCTGTTGTTTACCTGATTCTGACTGTTGTCTTCATGAGTCATCACATGAAAACAGTCACATATAAAGAAGAAAATATAGTAAGTTCCTGTGTTGGGGTTTGGAAAACAAACAATCTATGTGTGTGGGCTGGGGGGAGGGGAAGAGGACAGGAACAGGACAGTGCTAAAAAAGCAAATTGCTAGGATGCCTCCTCTTTGCTAGAATGTAACATAACTGAAAGAATTCACTGCAAATGTATCTCCACTGAGTGAGTTATGAGAAGTGTCCGGAGGTTGGTCTGGGTGGAGGTGGTAATAGGACCTTGTGAAATTGCTGTGCCTTTAACCAGTGCAGGAGGTGTTTTGCTATCTTGAATAGGTACAGCTCCCATTGACACATTCTACCTCTTCTTTTTTTCTTTTTCCCCTTCTAACATACAGCTACTCACGAGGAAGGCAGTGATGCTGCATATTCTCCCTTTACTGATGCCGTTTTTCAAAACAGAATTTTTTGTTGTTTTTCTTTTGCAGGTTAAGTGCACATTGTTTATAACTGGTCTTCCAAAAAATGCAAAACAAGAAGCTATTCAAGGCCATTTCATGTAAGTTCCACGCTTAATTAGGAACAAAGGATTTATAATTATCCTAGTAGTTTTAACTTCCCAGGCAGAAATGTGTTTAACTGTTGTGCTATTTCAAATCATGGGATGGTATCCATCTTCTAAAACTATCTCTATCCTTAGAAAGAATTGAGAATAGGATGAAAAGTGCAATATTTCAGTAGAACTAGTTAGCTAATCTTAAAACTAGAACCTAAAATGTGGCTGTTTCCACATTTCCCATAAATATTCCCACATGGTTTTTAATTGGGAATAATGCTGAACATCTCATACTAACGTGAACGCCAGTCTCTGTGGAAGACTCATCTCTGTGCTACTTCATTCAGAAGTGATAGAGGTACCATTTAGACAGCAGTGATGGTCTTTGTAACAGTTTATTCAATGTACTTCTCTTGTATTGCTTCATTTTCAGTGCTGCCTACCCAACTTGTGCTGTGCTGGAAGTCCAGCTATGTTATGATGTAACCAGGCTTATTCATCTATTTAGAAAAAGGTACTTGTTTTTGTAATCTCTCTGAATTTAGCATAATTTTGTAGATATCTTGTAGGTTCTTAATCAACGTTTTAACATTTACCAGTAGTACTAAAATTGCACGTACTAGAAATGAATTCTGCTTTTATAGTTCTGGTCTGCTTTTCAGTCAGATTCAACTGTATTTTGAAGTATGTGTTTCTAAAGGCTTGGCTGGAATCATTGTTTGCTTGGTCAGACAGTACAAAGTAGAAAACCCAGCTGCTGAATTAGTAATTCTAATTAGTAATTTTAGCAGACTGCTGCTGTGGTCGGGGAAAAGGGAAATAGGTTTACTTCTGGACTATACAATAGCAACTTTTTTCTTCTGGAACTTCAGGGGTGTAGACTCTTCAGTGCTATTGCAGGCTTGAAAATTAATTGTGCACAGTAGCTAGAATAAGGTGTATGAATGCCTTTGGTGACTGATTTGTTGTCAGTCTTTGACACAGTGTCTTCTCTTGGGGTTTATGTTCTTTGTAAGCTTGTTTATATTGTTTTCTTGCAAAATGTTTTTGATGTGTTTTTCCACCTAGAAATGAGGCAGAAAGAAGCCTGAGTTACTATAAACATATGTATGAGAAGCATGGCAGTCAAGTCAAAATCAACCCTAAGCCATGTGGTCAGTTCTGCTGCTGTGAAATGAGAGGATGTGAAAGGGTGAGAGATTGTGTTCATTTTTACAGTGGCTGGGTAAATCATATTGAGTAGTTTTTATGTAACATCTTGTGAGCTTAAAAAAATTATTCATTGCAGGGAATTTATCTTTCATGTTCTCGTACAATAGAGGAAAGGATTTCGCCAAAACTTCCGTAGTGTAACCTTAGTGCAAAAACTAAATACAAGAGAACCTTCTGTTTGTTTGTCTCCATGTGGTGACATGATTTGTAATTTGTGGAAGTAGTGGAAGACAGAAGGACTATGGTTTGTTTAGACTGTATTTTAATAAAGGTATCAGCCATCTGATGCTTGCAAGTAACACTCATCAATTTCTTAACAGGAAGATGCTGTAGATTATTATACTAGAGTTACAAATGAACTGGTTGAAGAATTCTCAAAAGAGGAACAAGCAGTTCAAAACAAACCACTAGGAATGGCATTTGTAACATTTCATGATAAATCCATGGCAACCTAGTAAGTTTTATCTGCTATCTTCTTTGTTCTCTTTTAACTTTAATAGTACAACTGATCTTGTTTGTGTTGCTTGTCTGCTTATGTTGCTTCTTCTTCCTTTCTTCTTCACCGTCATGTGGATTTGTTCTGCTCTGTTTGCTGGTAAGTTTTTCTGCAAGTATGCATTTAGCCTCTGTACTTCAAATGAAGAATTAATTGCCTAAGAGACTAAGTGGCTTGGGTACTTACTGGGATAAGAATCCCTACTTTGTGGGATCCGTTAGTCTAGGTTAGTAGTAGGCCAAATTAGTTAGATGTTGGAAAGAGGTTATTTCTCCATTTTGTAGTGTACAAAAGTGGTTACTAAGCTATCACAGTGAGTGCTGCTGAGTAACCTCGGCGAAGTAGTGAGCTTGTTTTAGAAGTAGATTCTATATGTTTAGTGTTGGTGAAGTACTGGGTGGAGTAAAGAGAAGAAACTTAACTTCCCAGCACTGTGTGTCTTTAAATATATAGAAAGAAAGCTTAATCACTTGCTGTGCAGATTGCAGAAAAGTCTGCACTCAACCTTTTTATGTTGTGTATGTGCATATAAATGTGTGAGTATATATCTAAAAAAACCCTTCATTGAGTTCAGTACACAAGTTGTTAGATAACCTAGAATAAGATGATTCAAAAGCCCTGTAAAATAAAATTTGTGTTGTAGGACTTATACAAGATACTCTAGATTTTGGTAATAGTGACTACTTTTCAATATGGGAGGTGATTATGCAGCACAACCTGTTCTAATATTCCTTTTGCTTGCATATTGCTTATATGACCTTCAAGATCTTGACATCATACAGATTTTACAGTTATTATGTGTCTCTTACCTGTTTCTATAGATACTTGGGTAGATGCAGTATCAGAAGCTAAGCCCCTTTTACCCAGTTGTTTATATAGAAGATGCATGTAACCTGTCCTTTTCAATTGACAGTTTTTGAGAATCCTCTACTAACACAAGGTTGAATAAAAGGAAATAGAATAATACTCATGCTACAAATGTAGCACATCGTGCCTTTTTTTTTTTTCTATAGCCTTTCTAGTTTTCTACATTCTTTTGACCTTCAATTCACATTGGTGATAGAGTCTTCCAGGGTCTTTGTCTTTTCAGGGAAGTCTAGGCTGTAGGATTTCAAGAATTTGAAATGCTGGAGAAATTTTTTGTGTCTCTGATTAAAAACAGTGAATTGCATTCCTCTTCTAATCTTGTCATGTTACGCACTGTATTTAAATATTGTAGAGCACAGAATAATCTTTCAATGTGTGAAACTGGAAGAAGAAATAAGCGCTGAGGTTTCTTCTCTGACTGTTAACTTGTTTATAATTTGGATGTGATGATTTCTCGGTGCACACATCAGAGTTGCATTACAGGCATCTCTGAGTTGAATCATGGAGAACTGAAAAGATTTTTATTGCTATGAACTCTATTCTCTGGAAAATTAGATCACATTTGATGTTGAAGCCACTAGATTAGAAAATTATGTGGTGTCACTAGTGGTCTTTGCTCCACAGAGCCCTGAAATAGGATGGGAGAAGCAGAAAGCCAGGATTGAAGTTCATGGAATCAGATAGCTGTAGAAGCTTGATTAGTGCAGGTGCTCACGTTTGTGTTGTGTGTCTGGAAGTGCTAAAGATTCCTCCTTATTTACTTTTAAAAAACAAACTATTGAATTATAATTAACTTTCTTAAATACTTGTTGCTGCAAGATGCTGATGTCCCTGCTTGAATTCTGGTAAGATAAAGATCTGTTTTGTCGTTTTTGCTTTGTTTGTTGTTTGTGTGGTTTCTTAATTGTCTCTGTTTTCTTAATGTTATGAGCACAACTGAGAAACAAGCGTAACCAGGAATTTTAGAGTCCACTCATTCAGATGTGATATATTTCTATTTCCATGCTAATGTAGCTGAGAATTTCTTTTGCACCATAGCACACACACAGTTATACTTTGTCTAAATAAATGCTAACCGTTTCTGTTGGTGTGTTCTGAGAAATCTTTGGAAGAATTTACTCTGGCTGTGTTTAAACTTACTTTAAGTACACTGATAATAAATTCAGGAGATAAGTATTGTGGATATTCTGGGAGTGGGTGAAAGAAGATATTTCAAATTGTTAGGTTACTTGCATTATAAAAAAATTGTGTGAAAAATCAAAATTAGTTAAACTTCGTTATGCCAACATCAAATCTGAATGGATTCATTTGCTTTGACTTGAAAACAGCTGTAATGACACGAGATGTTTGGGGTAATGGCTGCCTTTGTTTCTATTTTCCAAGGCTCTCGGAGTTTGATTTTTAATATGAGCCTCCGCTGCACTGATAGCAGCACTGAACAGTTTGATTCAAGGTTACTTTTTTGTTTTCCAGTTTTGTCAGGTTTTTTCAAAGGCCTCTGTTAATAACTGTATCTAATGGTCACTGCATGCATGAGATAAAGTTACAATGTTATCTAAACACTGTCTTGATCTCTGGTTATTAGAAGGAAAAAAATGCCTTTGGCAGTGTTCCTTCAGCATTTTCAGGTGTAGTAATTTGGAATAATCCTATTTGTTTTCCTCCTTGCAGTATCCTTAAGGACTTCAATGCCTGCAAATGTCGGAGTATTAAGTGTAAGGGAGAACCCCAGCCATCGTCCTACAGCAAGGAATTGTGCGTAACAAACTGGGAGGTTAAATATGCTCCGTATCCTGAGAATATATGTTGGTAAGATTCCTGTCTTCCATCCACTTTAATACTTTAGGTTTAGAATAGGGACAGAAGAAAGGGTCTGTGTTTTTTTTTTTCTCTAACCCAAAAATGAGATTGATGTAAATTTTTATTTCTAATAATGGTGTTCTTTTTTCACCTTGGGGATGCCTCTCAGAGGCTGACTAGGGTTTTACTACCCCAAAGTTGTGGCATCTGCTTTTTCTGTTAACGTGAAATAAATAAATAGAAACATAAATATATAAAAATATTCATCAGTCTGTACCTCAGCATTTTTGTCATTTGAGGTTTGTGTATACCTGTTGCTGAGGTTGCTGTGGATTCAGTTGGATGTTTTTTCCTTACTTTTTAAATTACAGCTTCCTGATAGATTCTGCCTCTGAGATCTGTTCTTTGTATAGTTTCAGTCTCTTGTTGTTCTAACTTTCTCAGTTTAATACATAGGTACAAAACAGAAATTGTTTCATCCCAGGTCTTAACTATTTTGAACATTGTGTTTAGGTGTTATAAAGTCTGAAAAAGTTGTCCTGCAAGTGCAAGCTATGTTATCACATGAAACCACTGCAACTTTTCTTATTTCTAATAACAACTGGAACTTTGTTTATGTAACTTGTTTGTACAAATGAAGTGCTTTGTTTATATAACTTCAAGAATATGAAAAAGCACCTGTTACTTGACAGGTAATATGTACTTTCAGCACTTTCAGCAACAAAGGCTTACTGCTTTTTCTTTTCTTTTCTTTTCTTTTTTTTTTTTTCAGGAATAATCTTTCGGTGCGTGGGCTGAACTGGTGGGTCAGATGGTGGTGCATTAATTTGTCTCTTCTTATTTTGCTGTTTTTTCTTACCACTCCATCCATAATCATATCAACCATGGACAAGTTCAATGTCACTAAACCTATTCACTACCTTAATGTGAGTATCGCCATGTTTCGATATAGCTCTATATAGGACCAAAATGTTGTTAAATGGATGGATGTATAGTTTAAAAAAATAAAAATCAATGTATATAAGCTAAATCTGTTGAAATTTTCAGAAGTGTTTTGTGTAGCTGCTGACTTAGAAAAAAAACCCACACACACACGCATATATATATACACACGTACATGTATGTATGTATGTGTATATAAACACATACGTGTGTGTGTATATGTGTGTGTGTACATATATATATGTCCAGAATCAGACCCTGGTTCCCCCTCTTGATAGGCTGAATATTTTCATCTGAAACTTTATATTATTATCAATCTTATATTTACTTGTATCTTTGAGATGTAGTTTTTACTACATTTAAAATGTTGAAAATCTGAAACATTTGTCAGTTTTGTATCCAACTTGTGTTTTGATTTTAGCATGAGAAGATGGGAATTCAGATTTTAAGCCCTGATGTAAAATGCCATCGTTTATTTTGCTTACTAGGTTGAAAACAAGGATGCTGCTATATGTCCAACTTCAGCTAAAATCTCTTACAAATTGTTCATTCTAGATATTTCCCAAAGCTTGCGTGTACTATCTAAAAACTGCTTGTGAGCCTTCATTCTCATGGAATTCAATCCCCAGTCCTGCTCCTGTTTCTTGTCTTGCACACAAGTGCTGAGCTCTATCTTGTTCTGAACTTACTCAGATTCAAACTTGAATCTCAAAAAGATTGCCTTAGTCTGACCTCTACCATTTATAAAAAGCTGTTTATTGCAGCCTCTGTTCTTCTAGCACAGCTGAATTAAAATGCCTTTAACATTTACTCCCTCCTCTTTTTTTTTATTCCCATCAGAATCCTATCATCAGTCAGTTCTTCCCAACACTCCTGCTCTGGTCCTTCTCAGCTTTGCTGCCAACAATTGTTTATTATTCAACATTGCTGGAGTCCCACTGGACAAAGTAAGCAAAATGTTCCACCGTTTTGGCCTTATCAGCTGAATTACTAGAAAAAAAAATAGGAGAAGCACTCAACTGTTTATGGTATTGTCTTTTTTTTTTTTTTTTTTTTTAAGTCTGTAGACCTCTTGTAGCAGGTAATATCATCTCTTCATCTCTTTCTAATATTGTAACCAATGTTTTGGAGTTATTCTGCTTGTAGTATTAAGTACAAAACCGACCAGATGATTCACTTTTGCTCCCCCTTCAGACACACTTTGTGTTTAAAGCTCAATTAGAAAAAAATACTCCTTCAACAGGGGCATGTGTAATACCTCAAATCTCCCTGAGGTAGTTTTCTGGGAAGGTAAGAAGTTTGATCCCCTAAGGCTGAGAACACTGGAGTCTCAAATCTTATTCTGAGGGCTCCAACTACTGACATGCTGCTTATAAGAAAGCCATCATTCTTGCTATTTTGCATGAAGAGTGATCTGGATGCAACAGTGCACAGATCTGTGCTGTTGGATATTGCTAGTGGTGATCTGAGAAGGCCTACAGGACCACAGCCTGTCAGGTCCATTGACCTAAGATTTTCCAGATACAGTCAGACCACTCAGAGGTGTCAAGTGATGTGCTGCTAACCTGGTGGGGCTCTTGATTAGTGTACTGGGTTTCATGCTCAGTTTACCTGTGTTACTGCACACTGAATCTCAGTTGTACCTGCCTTTGTTTAATCTTCTCCCTCAGCCATTGTTTATTTTTTTTTTATTCTAGGGTCAGATCCTTATTTTTTGTACCATTCCCTTCGAAGATGTTGTGTTCAGAATTTTTCTTTTGTTGATTTGTCAAAGTTGCATGCATTTCATCAATGTTTTTTATTGATAATTTATGTTATTTATTGATATTGCAAAGTTGACTTATCAACTTTGAGCCATTTTAAATTGATTGCAAGTTTTCTAGAGTTGCTAGTGATAACAGATCTGATTTCAAGCCTTACTATAGTTTACTAACTGATATATCCCATAGTGCCCAAGGGCTATGTGATCCTATAAAGCCACTGTGGTTTTAATGCCTAATTTGATACCATCTTTAAGAAAGTCTGTTGTTTATGGCAATCTCTGCAGTTCTCTGGTGACAATTAGTCACTAGAAAGATGTTCTTGCTGCTGTAGGAGTGGTAGATTATTAGTAATGTCATGTTGTTCTCAAAGTGTTATGTTTGGCAAGTAAAGTAGCTTGTCTGAGCATCTGATCTCTTGGAGGTGGTGCCATTCTGCATACTGCCTAATCTCTCCTGGCATAAGGTTTGGAGAGGAGCTTGTTTACAAGCTGTTGAGAGATGTATATCACTGGATGCCAACCAGCTGTGATGGGCGCACATCTCCTTGCTTGTGGTGCAGGACTGTAGTCTTGTTAATCCAGCATCTGGATTAATGTTCTAAAATATTTTCTGTGCCCAAGAAGATACTGAGAGTCTGCTTGGTCCAAAGCAGTGAGTGTCTCAAAGGCATTTCTGTTGTGAGTATCTTGTAGCAATGCAATATGGCTGCGGAAGCTGGAAGTCTTCTGGATGCTGATGTTCTTTGGGCAAAATTCTTCATGTGTGGAAGGCTTTTATATGAATTTCTTATTAATTTTCTTTTGTTGGTAGATCTGCGGAGAACAGAATAATGATGCATAAAGTCTACATATTTCTGATCTTCATGGTATTGATTCTGCCTTCCCTTGGTCTTACTAGGTAAAGCCATATTTTGGTAATGTTTGAATATTTTAATAATATTCCTATAACATTTTTGTAATATTCCTTTGTTTGCTAGTTGAAGTATAGATAGTGTACCCTCATCCTTTTCCAGACTGTCTGGTGATCTTGTCATTACACGTTAGATTTCAATATTACAATATCTCAATGTTCACCTTCCATCTGTGGATCTCTTAGCCCTTCATATCTCTGGAGTCTGATTTTCTTGTAGCAAAGGAATCTCTGACTATGAAAGATAATTTCTAGTTGAAAGTAGCCCATATTGATAGAGCTAAGAGCCAAATTTCCTGACTCTTCAGTTACAGTTTTTTTCTTTTTTTTTTTTTTTGCACCTGTACAGTGGTTAACTTTTCCCCAGCTAAGTGGGTAGCATGTAAACACATATAGCCTTATCTATATGATGGTTGCTAAAAATGAATCATTAAAACTTTAGTATGAAGTGGATGTTTGATTATTCATTTTTTTTTCCTCTGCCAGCTTATGACTGTCAGTAACTATAAAGCTAAAACAGTATTCTGAACTACTGAAAGAGAAGCATTTTTACACAATAAATTACAAATAAACCCTGAATTACATTAGCCATCTTTCTTTCAGCCTTGATTTTTTCTTCCGTTGGCTGTTTGACAGAGAGTCATCTGATTCTGCCATTAGGCTGGAGTAAGTATTAAGCAACTTTTTCTTGCAAGATTATTTAAAATGCTTTTTATCTGTGACTAATTTTGGTTAATGTTAATTAAAGTTAGCACTGGAATGATACTTCTGGAATGATGTTGAACTTCCAAAGAAGAGTAGGAGACAGTGCAAATGTCTTTGTTGTGAAGAAGTCCATACTTTTTCCTGCTAGGTAGTATATGCAAAATTTCAATGAAGAGAGTTATTTTTCCATGTTCTTAAAAATTCTGTCGAAGATGCGAAAAGACAGGAATGGGGTGAAGGGACGAGATAAGGAACTAGTGAGGACTGATGCATTTCATTGATGGGACAATCCTCCCGAAGACTGCAGTGATACAAAATAGCTACAGCAGCTCTTGAAATCCATTGACGCATTTGTATTTTTTATAATAAGAAGTGTTTTTATGCCAGTACTGCAAAGTTGCAGATACTGGTTACTAGAATCTCTATGTCTACAGGCTGGACACAGTGGCTAGTTTGTGAGGGACTGGAGGGAAAGAATAGGATGCAGTTACAAAGAGCTGACTTTTTCCCACCGCTATTTCAAATCAGTAATGAGAAGACAGTTAAGAGTTTCTAAGCTGGGAGATGAGGCTGCCATTGGATAATTTTATCTCATCTTGTCTCAAGTTGATGTTAATAGACATCAAATGATTCTCTCTTCTGCTATCAGCCACCCATCAGTCTGCACTGTCTCATTTCTTGAGCAATTTATTCCTTATCCAAACTGTGTGACTCAGCAAGTCTTCTTACAGGCTAATTTGTAATAGCACTATAAAAGTACACTTTTACAGTATACTGCACTTACTTCCTTTATAGCTATGTTGTACTCTTTTTCAACAAGATTATTTGACTTGTAGTTACCTCTCATGGTGTCCTGTACTTCTCCTTATGGAGAGAGACTTCTGGAAGTGTATGTATGTTCTTTCTACTGGCTTGTCTGCTTTCCAGTCACTGTCTGATGTCTTTCCTTGTAGATGTGTCTTTTTGCCTGACCAGGGAGCATTCTTTGTGAACTATGTGATTGCCTCTGCTTTTGTTGGCAATGGGATGGAGCTGCTGCGCCTACCTGGCCTCATCCTTTACACCATACGCATGATAATGGCCAAGTCTGCTGCAGAAAGGAAAAATATTAAACAGGTATTAGAGCCTTTCCTTAGCAATGGGAATGTTGGCCAAAAGCTGTGGCATCTTGAGCTTTCTGTACTGCTAAAGCCAACACAGGGATCAGTTCAGATACAATGGGCTATGCAGTGAGATGAAGGTTCTGTGTTTGGCACAATCACTTTTCACCTTGTGGTTTCATGGAGTTGCTTCTTGTAATTGAAAACAACTTTGAGGAATGCTTGTAAGGCTATGAAAGTAGTAATGTATTTTCTGTAAGTATAGCTGTTTAAAACATGTAGTACTAGTGCATAATTGCTGTTAACACCTCTCAAGGAAATAAGTGATTTCTCCTAGGAGGGTATAAGAGAAGGTGAGCTGTTGCTTTAGTCTATCTGCCTTAACTTCTGATGTTGATAGATGACCTGAGAGATAAGAGTGCTTTGTTTCTCTTTCCTAGCAACAGGCATTTGAATATGAATTTGGAGCAATGTATGCCTGGATGTTGTGTGTGTTCACTGTCATCATGGCCTACAGCATTACATGCCCCATCATTGTCCCGTTTGGTAAGTTTCCAATGAGCTGTGGGCCCTGCATAGGTGAGGCTGAGGCAAGTAGGAGCTACAGAAGGCCCAAATCTGGGTTCTTAGTGTACTCTTCAGATGCTGATCACTCTTAGAACTTTGATCCGCATTTCCATCCCTTCTTGTGGAGAAAAGGACAGAAGATGGCAAATTATTTATTTCCTATACTGCTTTGGGAAACTGAAATTATGTTTGAGTATTAGATATTTGTTTTGAGTGCCAGCCTGTTAGCTCTGGTGGTGATTTTTAACAGTTAAGCCTAGGATTTCAGACAGGTTTTGGGGGTGAGGGATTTATTTTTATCTGTGGGTTCTTGGGGTCTTGGAGAAGCAAGTTGCATAAAGTATCTAGGTTGAAGATTTAGTTAAAACAGCCAAACTTGACTTGAGACATTCTGATCCCTAAATCCTTTAGGTATGTTTTAAGTAACAATTTGTCTTAAAGTTTGGTTGAAGTATTTAAGGAAAGCATGAGAAACAGTATGTTGAGGCAGTAGTAACAGGCTGGAAAATTACTTGTTCCTTTCCGCTGCTGCAATTCCTATGTGTTGCCAACCAGTTGTTATTATTATTTATTATTACTACATGCCTTGAACGAGAAAAAGGGCTGTGGTCATGACTGTCCTATTGACAGTGGTGTGCTCCATAGTCCTGACCCCAAGGATGTGCTTAAGCTGGCTGCTTTGTTTGGCACGTGGTCTTAGTCTTGCCCTTGGACAAGAAGGGGAACACTGTATGCTCCGATAGCCCTCCTGGCTTAGGCTACCAGCTAATTAGGAGTGCAGGACCTTCAAAAGTATCCAGATCTCTAAGTCACAGGCTACCTTTTTCTAGGAAGTTTCCTTTGCACCGTATCACAAACAAAATTAAAATTTATGCCTTAAATTACTTACTTATCTAGGTTTGAGTATTTCTTTGCTTTTGCTGTACCTGTCTTTAAATCCAGTATGAGCATGCAGAAAACATAGCACTGTCTAGAACTCTCGGACAGTTGCTCATTTTCCTGTGATCTGAACTATGTTTCATTTTGTTGCATCTCTTGTTTATAAAGATTTTTTTTGTGTGTGTATAAAGAACTATTTCAGCAGCTACACTTACTTCCACTCTCAGGCATATTGTACAAAGTCATTAGATCACAGAATCACAGAATTGCCAGGGTTGGAAGGGACCTCAAGGATCATGAATCTCCAACCCCCCTGCCACACACAGGGCCACCAACCATCCCACCTAATGCTAGACCAGACTGCCCAGGGCCCCATCCAGTCTGGCCTTGATCACCTCCAGGGACGGGGCATCCACAACCTCCCTGGGCAGCCTGTTCCAGTACCTCACCACTCTCTCTGTAAAGAATTTCCCCCTGACGTCCAACCTATATCTCCCTTCCCTCAGCTTAAAACCATTTCCCCTTGTCCTGCTGTCACTCAGTATAGTATTAGTATAATCTTTTTTTAATCTAAAACTTTAGAAAACTAGATGCAATATAATTAGCTAAATTAGATATTTTTTCAGAACTATTTTTAATCAACAATCTTATTATTGGGAGAGTGTGGCCACTTTTTAAACAATACAGTTTATATTTATTTAGACTACTTTGTGTGCAATTGTAAATATTGGAATGCGCTGCTGTGTACTTGAGCTGTTGTAATGTGTAACTGTCACATCTGGAAGTGTTTTGTTGGGGATAGAATACAGCTGATTTGAAATCCAGACACGAATTTATCGAAGTCTGAGGGGCAAATACAAAGCTGCTGTTAGACCTTTCCTCTTTACCAATACTGTGTAAGGAAGTTTCCAACTCTACCCAACCACTGTGACTCCACATGCCAGCACTAGGAAGGAGCTCTGGATGCACCCTGAGAGCATGAGTGGGTGACAGAAGTCTGAGAAGAGGGGGAGGGATGGTGAGACCTTGGGGGCCTTGGCACTGCCTCATGAGCAACTTTAGGAGCAGACTGCTGTCGTGCAACTGTATCTCATTCATATTTGGCCTGTATCCACCATTAGTATCTGAATTTTGGGTCACTTTGTTAGTGCAGGTTTCTTCACAGAATTGTTGCTTTTATCACGTTTGCAACCCCCTTCTCCTTGGCTCTCTTTTTTTTTTTTTCCTTCCAGGGTTAATATATATGCTCCTGAAGCACATGGTTGACCGTTATAACCTTTACTATGCATACCTCCCTGCTAAGCTGGAGAAAAAGATGCACTTTTCAGCAGTGAACCAGGCACTTGCAGCTCCAATTCTCTGCCTTTTCTGGCTTTATTTTTTTTCTTTTTTGAGATTGGGTAAGTATAATCTGTTCTCACTGAGAAAATACTCCTACCTCTCTTGCCAACATACCTAAATTACACGTGAAACTTCATAGACATTATGGACTTTTCTGTTTGCTCCAGTAAATATGAAGTTATGGTGGTTATGTGTTGCACTGAGTTTGAACTGGCCAATTGAGCTGTGGAGTGACAGACTTATTACAACAAATTAAGAAAAAAAACCCACACAAAATAAAACAATAATCTCTTCAGAACTAGTTCTCACTAGTAAAATGGCTCCTGGCTTTACGACATGCATTTGTATAATCAGCCTGGGTGAATTGGCTACTGCTTCTTTTGTTTAAAAAAAAAAAGTGTTAGAATGTTAGCTAATGATGCTACTAAGACCTGTTATATGCTGTTCATGAAACTTCACATGAAAAATTGCAGTGAAATAGCGACTCTCCTCCTCATTCTATGATTTGAAAACTCATGATTTTAGTATTCTTTATGGTGTTCTTTATTAAGCAGACACTTGGTACCAATAGCATTGGCTGTGATATGCTAACAGCTTTGACATCAGAAGAGGTACATGATGGCTCTTTACTCCTAGAAGGAGGCATTTGGCATGGAACAGGGATGAGGGTGACACTTGAAGGAGCTGAATTTCGCTTCTTGGGAAGGGAGCCCTTGTAATGTGTTTTACTTTCTCTGCTCTCACAGCACTGATGACAAATCAGTATGCTTTGTAATGTTTTTCTAGCATATCAGTAGTTAAACAATACTGCTGGCAGACTGTCATTTAACTTTAGGTAGCTCCCAGTAGATTTTACAGGCACTCAGAACTACTGCTTCAGACTATCCTTGGGTTTGAGCAGCTGTTGCTGCAGTAGTTGTATGCTTGAAAGCTTGCTTTTTCCCATGTTTCAAGAACTGCTTTTGCAAGCAGGAGGTCTAACAAATTCACGTTCTCTCAAATAACAGCAGAATTTCTAGAGCATGCTTTAGGAAAAATCAGCTACAATCATAATGCAATTGATGCATCTGTAATTGTTATGAAGGAAAACCTGACATAATAAAAAATGAAATCTTTTTAACAGTGTTTCCTGGTTCTATACCTGTGGTAAGACCACTGCTCACCATGGAACTTCATGATGGAAAATAAAGACTGAGATTTTATGTTTGGCTTGGTTTAGTATAGAAGTGATGCAAGTCTGAGAGGTGGGAACTTGAAGTTTTGATTTCATTGCTGCTGCTTGTGGCAAGGGGAAGGAAAGAGTGGGAAGAGTGCTCTGCTTTATTATCTACAAAATACATCAGTCTGTTGTGTATACAGCCTGATTGCTTAATCAGTTACTTGTGTGAATGCTGTGGATACAGTATGAATTCAGTGTAGCTGCAGAGTACAGTGATAATATATTACATTTTTTATGAGTGAGAAAATAAGAGTAAGGCTGGAAAAACTTCTATCCCAGTTCTGAGTCAGGATCAAATACTACTTGGCTGCATAGAGTACTGCATGCAGACAGGCTTCACTAGCGTCATCTCCCTTGTTTTCTCCCCAGATACTGTTTTCTCCCCAGCCTCATGCTATCTATCCATCAGATACCTAAAGCACAGCCATGTCCCTCACAGCAGAAGACGTGATAGTGCTGTATGCAGCCCAACCATTGTCTCCTAGGATGTTCATCTAAGTACCACAATTCTCTAGATCTGTTTACAGGGACAGTTTAAAGCTGGTAAATACTGTTGTAACACACTATTATACAACCAGCTCCTTTCAAAGGACATTCCAGAATACCCATAGGGAGTTTTTTCCCACTTCCCTTTTCTGTTTGAACAGCAACATCTATTTTGTACTTGGTCATTGTTGTTTTTGTCTCCAAGCAATCCATGCAGATCTGTTCATATAACCTACTGAAATCTTGTTTGTTCCATGTCATTACCTATGCTGGTGTTACCACAAAAAAAAAAACCACAAAAACAAGCAAACAGGACTGGTGTTTATTTTTTTTGGCCAAAGAAACTTAGGAACAGATGAGTTAACTTTTTTTTCCCCTTAATACTTACTCAAATAATCTTTACTGCAAAATGTGATTAATTTCTTCAGAATACTTCCCGACTTTACCTGGAGAATAATCACTATATTCATTCTAATTGTTTTCTTACTAGTTGTCTTCTAGATCTTTTCTTTGTGTTCATTCCATGCTCCTAGCACACCACCCCAGAGAATCCCAACTTGCTCGTTCACGTTTCCTCAGCTTTTTGTCTTTTTATTCTTTTTCTTGGATTCCTCCTAGTTCTGTCCATACTTCTAGTGCAGTGCCCTGTAGTTTGGTTTCAAAAGGCCAGTAGTACAGAAGAGCTTTATTATTTGGTATATGTACCTGAAACTTGCTTTTTTGGTAATAGGGTTGCACCACTGATTGCGATCCAGTTTGTAATCATCAGCTGTGTGCAGTGGAGCTACAGTCTTATTACTCATCTGTAATCTGTGAAGGTCACTTTTCTCCTTTTGGTTGTTTGCAAGCCATTCCATTTAGTGCCATCACCACACTTAATAAATAGACTCTACCTATAACATTTCACAGATCATCAATAAAAGCATTTTAGAAGTAGATCCAGAATAGTTGACTGAGGGATGAGGAGAGAAGGATCTGTGAGCTTTGTCTCTCAAGTTTTACAGCTGCCTTTCTTGACCTCTGGAAAAAAATAAAGCTGGGAAGCAGTTTTACCAGCCAAAGAGATTTGTGCTTAACCAGGCTCTCCAAGCTGAGGCTGGAAGTGGATTGTCTAGTTCTTTAAGGAAAAAACATGGGGCTTCTGAAAGTGGGGAAGACAGAATGTGTTTTTCTTGCTGTGTATTTTTATATTGTATTCTCTGAATATTCTTCTAGGCTTTAAAGCACCTACAACAATGTTTACATTGCTAGTTGTAAGCATCACAATTGCTGTTTGCGTGGCTTATACTTGTTTTGCGTGTTTCAAGCACCTGAGCCCATTGAACTATAAGGTAAGTGATGATAGGGTAACACCTTTTGGCACCAAGTTATGGATGTTATGTAGTGCCAGCTGTTTGTGAGGGATTGTTTCTTGCCTTGTCAGCAGCAGTGCCTGTCCACAGAGGTGCATTACAGTGAGATGACTAACAAGGGCTGATCAGTAGAGGTGGGTTATTTGGCACAGTGGAAAGTGTGGCACTGTTAGCAAGATTTGAGAGGAAAGCAGTATGGGAGTGTGTGAAAGAAAGCTAGAGTCGTTATGAGATTGCAGTAGAGAACTGGCACTGCCCAGTGATTTATTTCCGCTGGTTTTTAAATACCATTTCTTAATACTGTTTTGACTTAACAGTTTGTTCTCTCTCCTTTTCCCTTGCCTGTTACCGGTTACAGATAGAAGACATTCAAGGTGAAAGTGGAGACATAGATGTACGAACCATTCCGGCATCTTCTGTAAGAAGTTAAAAGTTACTAACATTCTGTTACATTTCCTAGAGAAGCTTAATTTCTCACCCTGCAAAGAGCTTGTGTAGGATGCATTAGTCTGAATGGACTGTAGGACTTCCCATGTGTTGGTGGGACCAGCAAGTTCTGCAGCTGGGCTCCTTGATTGTTCCAGGTGGTGTTCCAGAAGTACCTTCGGCTGAAGCTTTAGGAGTAGTTGAGATGTGCTACTGTACACTGTGTTATGGGCCTTACATCAGCCAGAACCTAACTTCTGGACAGCAGTCAGGTGTAGTCAAGCTTTGTGACTTGGAAGTTGTGACGTGACCATCAGGTCTTTGCCTTGATGCTAAAAAGGCTGTGAGACTGGGGTAGAAATAGAGGTCTTTGTGCCGCAGTCTACGCATAGTGTACATTCAGATGAGTGTTGCACCAGGAAGCATCCTGTAGGATGCAAAAGGCCTTAGCTGTTAAGGTGAAGAATGGGAAATGGATGAAAAGAAGAATGGCAAGGGAAAAAATTATCCTGAGTAAATTTTCCCAGAATACTCTGAGACACTAGTAAAATCCTTAATGCTTGTGATTTCAGATGTACATCCCTCGAGTTTTGCAACCTCGTTCTACAGAAAGGACGATGTTTGCCCATGAGGAGAAGCAAACATATGGTACCATGGGCAACGATACTTTAGGGGCAGAAATCACAACCTATTCTGCCCAATCAGCAATTGGAAGAATAGCAGAAGGATCCATATGAATGCCAAGGACTAACACAAGGTGGAGCACTTGATCCAACTTCAGAAGAACTGATTCCTCACCATTGTCTATTAAGAATTCTGATTCACAGATTACTGCCTACAGAAGAGATACAGAAATGATTCATTGTGTGGTCTGCAGCTGTGCTTGGAGATTAAAAAGAGATGCCTTGGGACTGATTGTTTACCCTGCTGTCTACAAGCATTGCAAAATAAACATTTTGAACACGGAGCTGCGGATCCTCAGGGACTTCATGTCTGCTATTTCATTGCTTTCCTGACAAAGATAACTTATGCTGCATATAGATATCTGATCACCAAAGCAAATGCAGTTTTATTACCAAATGTCATTTATTTATTGAAAATGATTCTAATTTTTTTAAAACTTTAGTATTTATAAACTCTTCGGTATGTGCTAAATCCTGAAAGCAGTGCCACTTTTTGATAAAAGTACTGTATGTGTGGGAGCTGAGGATGGTGTGTGGGAATCTCTCATCTTGCCCCTCAAAGTAGTTGGTATACACTTGAGCACTTTTATTTTTCTCAAATGAGATGAGGGAGTTACTGTGCACTTGGATACTAAAAGTGCCAAAGCATAGGACTAGTGTAAAGAAGGGAGCCTGATACTGCTTTTATATAATTATGGAGGGCACTTATGTTGTTAGTTTTTGTTCACTATTTTTAAGGACCTTCCACAATGAATGCTCACCTGCCACCAATAAAGGATGTAAACATTTTATCTGTCTTTTAATCTTGGGCCAAAACAACAATCCTCTGGGTTTTTTGTTGTTTTTTTTTTTTTTTTTTTTTTCTGATGCCAATATAAGGTGTATGGTACTAAGATTTTAAAATTATGTAGTAAGTGCCAATTTATTTCAGACTACATTGCATCAAGGTGTAACTAGTGATCACAAAGCAATAAAACACTGGGTTTGGAGACATTTCAGACTTTTTTTTTTCTTTGCATGTTGAACAGGTTTTGCAGGTTTTGTTTTTGTTTTTTTCTCTGTTTTGCAACATGAGCAGCACAATAAACTGTTCATAAGAGCATTGTCACAAGGTTCACATTTTCATATTCCATGAGAGATTTGAATACCTTTACATTTCTTGAGGGGATGAATCTTTATGACTTGTGGGTAGGAAGATGATTCTGACATTCCGAAGCCCTGCTCACTGCTAAATTATTAGATCCTGAACGTGACCTTTATTAGTGTATCTGTGAAGCAGCAACACTGTATGATTGGAGCAAAATTTGTGCCACAGATAAATGTGTGCAGATGTTTAGTGTTTTACAGGATGGCCTCTAGTTTCCTGGGACCAGTGATTTGGACAAATGCAGAGCGGGAAGTCTGTCATGCTACCAGAAAGACCCTGCAGAGCTCTGATAACCCTGGTGACAATCCTATCCTGGTAGTTAGACATGCCCATAACTCCTCCTTCATGAGAGGTAAGTGAGAAGCCCTGTCTAGCAATGGCACAGATTTGTGTCAGTTTTCTTTATGCTATCACTTCAGTATTATAATTTAGTGAGGGGGGACTTTCGGGGTGGTGTGATTTGTTTGTTTTTAAGGATATCTGCTTGTTTAGCAATTGTGGTCTTAGTGTACCCTGAATACATACTGGCATGTAAGGCTGGGATTTGGACTGTGTTTTGTCTCTTGAGTGTTTCATACAGCCGTGAGGACAGAAGGTGGAGACAGAGTCTGTTTCATTAATTTGATCAGAAGTCTAATTGTTCATATGCGCTCCTATATGGGATGGGTTACTGTAGCAAGTCTACAGAAGCTGTGAATACTTACAAGTATACTAATTGTGAAAGCAAATAAATGATCCACTTGACATGACTGCAGTGGATCTAGGGGTACTGGGGGGTTCTTATGTTCTGTGGTAGAACTTTTTTTGAACAAATGGCCTTCTATATGAACTGTAAAGTTACATGTGTCATATGAAGGATAAAATCTCTTTGGCTATTGGATTTCTTTCTTGTGTTCCAAGGCTGCTTAGCCTAGGTGACCAAGCTGCTTGTGGTTGGCATAAATTCGGAATGTGTAGGAGCAGTAACAGGGACAGCTCTTCTATGAACTTGAATAAACTTAATTCCAGTCACATTAACATGCTTCAGATAATAGAAAATGGAAAACCTATTAGGTAATGGAAAGTCCTGTGTTGCTAAGTAGTTGTTGCTGGCCTTTAAAGAACCACCTAATGCATCTGATGTGGAAACCACCTGTGTGTTTCACCTGTCTTTTCTTCACCACTGGAAGCAGAAGTATCTATGATGTTAGGACATGCTCTCATTCGAGTAAAGACTGGGGTAGTCCTCTGGTAAATTAGCACAATGCTTCCTTGTGTAGCAGCACACAAATTAAGGGCTGGTCTGTCAGATTTCTCAGACTGCCCTTGCTTATCTAGCGTCATTTGGGTCTCTGTCTCTGAGATCTGGAAGCAATAAACTGCGCTGATCCAAATACATTCCTTCATGCTGGTGGATATCTCTGAGAGGATCAAATTAGATCAGCAGGAGAAACTCCTTGCATTCCTTGCAGAGCTTTGGAAAAATGTGAGGGATAGAAGCCTTGACAAATGTGGATATTGGCTGCACTGTATTTGAAATTCATATTTAAAGCCACTGCACATTCTTTACTGTGCTTTTTATAAATCCCTTTGGCAGAAAGCCTAAGCAAATGGCCCAGCTGGAGTTACTGATTGCAGCTCCCAGAAGCCATATTTGCTGAGATCCAGTGCCTGCTGTTTGCCTTGCCTTGCTCAGTTGGAATGGCTGCTACCCCATGCCTCATCTCCTGCAAAGCCCTTGCTTACATTCTAACAGCTTCTTTGGAATGTGAATCCTAGGCAGTCTGATGGTCAATGTGAATAAGCCTTGCAGAGTGGTTGATGGGATTCTTTGTGACACAGCTGAGGACATGAGATCTGAAAAGCTAAAGAACTGAGCCCATCTGTGATATTTGTTGAGTTCTGCAAAGACTAAGTTCCTTCTACAGTAGAGAGAACAGAAAAAACAACAGCTGGGCTTCTTTAGACGCTACCTAGCTCTGTGCCAGTTTGGGTGTATGTACAGAGTAAGCTCTATCTGGTTTGCCTGCCCTCTTACAACCTCCATTTAGGTGTTGAGGATGTGTTGTAATTTCTCATTTGCATATGTTCATACCTTGTCTTCCTTTGGGCTTTTCCTATGTGCTGAGCCAAGAGCAGATCTCTTGGCTGAGTTTCTATGTGCTTCAGTGCAGCAGAAGGCTGTATTCTGTCTCTCTCTTTGCGGAATTCCATTCCCTGAAGCTTTGCATACCCAAAGGGACCTAACAGCAAACTGAAAACTATTCCATACCTTTAAAATAAATGGTTTTCAAGAACCTGGGCTAATCTTAAGGCCTGCAGAGGATCACAGATAACTGTTCCCTTGACTCCTACCAAAAGTTATGTGAGAAGCACAGGAAGATTTGGGGAGGAGGTTTTTTTTTTTTTTTTTGGTCACTAATGTGAATACAATTCCACTGAGTTCAGAGAAAACACTTTTTTGTCTCTGAACTGCAACAGTGCAAAGAAACATACACTTTAATTCCATATGATGGCCAAGGCCATAGCTTTCTAAGAAGACAGGTGCCCATCTTCTTTAAGTGGCTCTGCAAATTCTTCTTCTGTCTAATCTGGACAAGACTTTTTGGAAGGATTTTGCTTGTCACCTGTCTGTAACAGCCGCAAGTGCCTGTTTCAGATATTTCAGAGTTGCTGAAGTTCTTTCTCTCTGAGGGCAGCTGTCAGCCAGATCAAACTGGAAAGGAAATGGCTGAACACGAAGGCATTGAAATTTGGGTCATATAATAGAACATTATTCTCTCTAATTTCTCACTTTGTGGATTATCTCCTAACTCCTGCTGCCTATTTGACATCTTATTGGTTAAGCCATTAGCATCTCAACAAGTGCAGCTTCCCAAATGTTTGTGCTCAGATACAGAGTTCCTGGGTTATCTTGACTTGTCAGCAAAATTGGTAAGAATTTGTTGTTTGGAGGGGATGTATAGAAAGATCAGCTGTCTGTCGATTGCATATTGCAATTAGCTTTTAATTCCATTGATGAAAGAATGAATGTGGTTCTCTGATGTAACTGTTGGGGTATTTAGAAGCTGCTTCTCCCTGTTCAGTGTGCCTTATTACTGATCTTTCAACCAGGGACCTGCAGTGTGGTGGCTCTGGATTCCTGGTTGACAGCAAACTTTATTGTTTTTGCAGGGGAGGATTTGTTCTCTTCTGTGGCAGCTTAGCTCCTGTTGTAACTGATATTCCTAGGTTTGAATGGATTGAAATTGCTACCTCAAGACCAACTTTTATGGTCAGTGGAAAGCAATACTCTGATGTTGAGTAAGGACTTCACTAATGCTGCAAGCTAACCTTATTTCCAGCCTCAGTTTCCTCCCTTCGAAGGGCAGGAGTCAAAATGATGAGGCTGGATTCTTCCCAGTGATGCCCAGCAATAGAATGAGAGGCAATGGACACAAAATGGAACACAGGAAGTTCCATACGAACATGAGGAAAATCTTTGTGAGCATGACAGCACTGGAACAGGCTGCCCAAAGAGGCTGTGAAGTCTCCTTTCCTGGAGATATTGAAAACCTACCTGGAAACATTTCTGATCATGTACTCTAGGGGACCCTGCTTGAGCACATAACTACCACAGCCTATCATATAACACAGATGTGATAAGTGTCATTTTTAGGACCTTAGAACACTTTCATCTTTATGACTACAAACTAAAAATTAGGTTTTGAAGTAGAATAGGATTTCTGAGAGGTCACAGGACAGTGGTTGCAGTGTCTGATATCTTTCACCTCTCTGTACTAGATCTCTTCATAATATTCAAGTAGGAATGTGTGGGACAGTAACCAGCCAAGGAGAGATGGAAATGTTCATATCTGTTTCTAGACGCAGTGGCTAATTAAATGCTGGTTAATAGATAATGAAGATGACAAAACCAATTTTTAAAATGGAATTCCAGAAATCTTATGTGTAGTATAAGGGACTCCTGCAGGAATCAGAGTCAGCTGCCGTCTCAAACCATTACTGCTGTGTGATTGTGAACCTCCAATTTGTATGTAGTGAGACAAAGGGATGAAGGTTTGTAATAGAAGTTAGTGGCTGTTTTTAATAGGTATCTATTTGTTATGCTTCTCAGATGTTAAAAAAAAAAAAAGTTGCAGTAGAGGAAGACCGAGAGCAGAGGGAAGATTTATTATTATTATTATTTTCTTTTTTTTGCACACAGCTCTTCTTTCTATATGAAAATCTTCCATGCATTTACTGTTGATTTATATTTGGCTTTTCAGATCAATTGCCTTTGTTATAGTCAGCTCTGCTGAAATGTAAAGCACCAACTTGCTTCAGGTGAAGGTGTTTCATGTTAAGACATTGAATTTTACATTTTTTCTTGCCCAAGGCAGATCACCTGTATTTTGATTTTTTTCATCTATATCTGTAGAGAAATTAAACCAGCAGCTATCTCCAAAATAGAACAAAAAGTGATTTAGAGAATTGCTAAGAACAGTAATTTGGTTGGAGGCATAAGTTTATTATTATTATTTTTTATGACAAGGGTCTCACTTTAAAGAATGGAGTAGGCTTTTCTTACTCTTCCATGTTTTACATCTCTTGTTTCAAAATTATTCCTAGAATAGGAAGAATTAAATCTACTCTGAAACCAGAAATTAGAACCTGCTTATTCCTTGAGAAGCACATAGAGAACTAATTGTTTTGTGCCTCTAGGAGGACTCATTTGGGCAATAATTACTGTTACTTTTCCTAAAAAGGAAAAAGGCGGAATGGTGAGGTTAAGAGAATTGATATCTGTGTTCTGCAGTGGGTTCTGCTGCTCAGTTTTGCATGAGATATTACTTAATCTGTCTCTTGTTTCTCTGGAACATGAAGGGTTCTTTCTGATTACTATAAAAAGCTTAAACAGCCACGAAAAAAACTGTGGGTGATATAAACAAACAGTGAGATAAAGAAGTATGGACAGACCTCATCTCCCTCGATGCTGCATGAGAATTCCTAGAACTCAGAAGCTGCAAATGTATTTTCATCCAAAATCACCCCAACAGTGCAGACTTGGTTGAAAATGAGCTTAATAACTGCTGGAAAATAAATTCTTAGACTACATCCTGAACAATTAACCTTTGTGCTCTGAGCAGAGGTGAGAAGGCTGCGATGGCCTTATAGCCCCAGAAAGAATGGAACTGCTTTGGCCCAGCAGGAGCAGAGCTGCAGCCCAAGTATCTTATTCCTGAAATTGTGCTGAAGGAGGGCTGCTGTCCAGAAAGCAGAGAGAGGTGGAAGCTGGTCCAGGCCTTTCAGATCCTTTCGGACAGGGAGAGATTGACATCGCTTATCTTGAGTACCTCTGGGCAGAACATATCTGCATCCCCTTTCGCAACAGGGATCTAGGAATGAAGCATCTTGAAAAGGAAGGAAAGGGTATTTTTCTGGTTGCCAGCATCAGCAGGATGGGCATTGTTTTTGGATTGGATGTGGACTGGATGCCAGTTCCAGATCAGGGACAGGGAGGAATTTTGGGGTACTGGGTGTGCTTTTTTTACCTCTTTCCTCCACTGTTCCTGCCCCGAGGGCCTGTCCATTCCCCAGACCAAGGGGCTGTAGCTGCTGAGCAAGGCAGACAGCTGGATCCCAGCGCAGGGCAGGGTCCGCCCCTCAGCCCTGGGGCAGAGTAGACAAGGTGAGGCAGTCTATTTTTTTCCTTGCAGCTCTTTTGTGCTGTTGAAACATCACAAGTCAGTTTTCACATATAGTTGAGATTGTCATTTTGATGTTTGATTCAGTAGCTGAGTGGTTGTGCCTGGTTTGGTCTTCCTGCATTTCTATACACCTTTTCTTTGTGCTATACTCTCTTTGCAGTGATCATGTGCTGTTGTTTGTACCATTTGAGTGGTATGAAATGGTGGTGTGAATCTACCATGTGAGGGTTATCCTTAAAGAGATGGAAGTATTTAAATAGAAAATCTCATTGTTCCTCCCATTTTCAAAACTACAGCTATTAACCAGATATTATTATTATATTATACTCAGTTATTAAACACAGGGAACAGGAGCATCCTTCTAAACATCTTAAAATCTAGTTGGGAAGGGATTCTGAAGACTGAAGTTCAGACTACAAGGGGAATGAGCTGTCACAGCCCGGATTAGTTTCCAGATAACCAATCATAGTGAGACTACATTTTTTGGTAGCATGGGCATAACACCACCAGGGCTGTCTGGCACTGCACAGGATATTTCTATCGCAGAAGAGAACTAATCCTAAGCAAGATGGTTTTGGTGTGACTTATGTTCCTTCAAGTGCTATCGCAGCAAGGCAAACAAATGGCATCATTTCTCAGTGTTTTCAAATAAGCAAGCCTGAAATCAATATGAATTTATTCCTTGTCTCTTCCTACAACAGCCAGAGAGATGTTTCCACTCCTCTTACAGACAAGAATGTATCTTCATGTAATGCATATTATGTATTGTACTTGCTTCAAAACAGTGTGTGCATTCGATTGACTGCCTTGAGCAGACAAATCCTTCTCTTTGCTGATGTGGTGGTGATGAATGGGGCCCTTTAAGCACTGTGATTCTGGACTTAACAGATTTTATTTTTCACTAAATGATGGTTTAAATTCCTTTCTGGTGTAAACAGTGCGGGGTCTATTCACACTGTTTTTAACTCACACTTTGAGTAAGCCGATTTTTTTCACTTGATGTGAACGAAGTCTTGTTTAACTGCAGAAGGTATACAGACAGCATTCAGTGGCTTGGATTTTCAGGACTTTTTGATTTGTTGTTTAAAAATTAGAAGTCAAATTTGGTTGTAGTGGGAGTTAGTTTTGCTGGAGTGTCTGAAAAAGTGATGATTTAAAATGTTTTTCTGTACCAGAAACAAGTATACTTCATCTCCAAACTGAAGTTCTTTGAAAAGTAAGTTCTGCTTATTTTCAGTGGCATTGCTCTGGCTTTGACATTTTCATCTGGACTCTTCACAGGCTGTGATGCCTGAAAAGCAGGGCTTAGGTCACCTATTTCTGTTTTCAGTGAGGAATAGATATGTATGCTTTGGAGCAGCTTAAGGAGAAATATTAATTTCATTGAGCAGAGATTTTAAAGGAACTATGGTCCAGAAATGGAGGTTTCACCAAGAAACGGCCCTTCAGCAGAACAAAATGCTTTAAGCATCATCATATTCTAAGTTCTCCTCAAGGATGCAGCTTCTATTTCCCCAGCAACAGCTCAGCCAGCCCAACAACCGGGTATTTTATGGCAGGATATTTGGCCTCATTAGAAGAGACTCTAATGATACTCTGCTGACTCACTAAAGTATTGCAAAGCAAAGGTTTTTACTAACTACTTATTACTATTGCACTAATATGATACACAATGTTACTTGCTAAAAGGAATGTTAAAATTGTTTCTGGTTATCTGACACTCACTTTTTCACTGCTTGCTGTAGTACTGTACCAAATAATTGTTCACTATTAAATAGCAGAGCGTGTATCAGAAGTGAGTCTGGGTTCACTAAAGGTGATTATAATCCTAACCTCACTGTCCTGGAAGAGTTCTTGCCTGCAGGAGGAGATGCAGACGCTGTCAGTAGCCCACAGACACTTAATATTAAACCTTGTACTACAGGCAGTGGAATTGGCTAAAAACAAGTGATTTTTTTTTTTAAGGGGAGGGGAATTGATGACAAGCTTTATGGCTGGCATATAGCTGAATTTGGCACTCTTGCACATTGCCGCAAGATTCAGCTTTGTTTGTATCGAGGTGTGGATAAACAGGTGATGAACAACAGCTGCTGATTGCTATGGGTTTGAGGTTTGAGAAGTGTGACATTAGAATTCAGAGCAATCTTTGATATGTCACAGGTGCTTACCCACCATTTCTTAACTTCTGAAGTCTATATCCTTTTATATCCTTTTTGCTTTCTTTCAAGTAGAAGTCAATCAAACCCATTTTCATGCTGGATTTAATTTCTATGATTATTTTCTATGCTAAGTCAAACAGACAGTAAGGACAGCTAATTTGTAGTTGGTTGAAATGCACTTACCTGGCATGTAGAGTGGGGCAAGGACATGCTCACTTAGCATGTGTTCATCACCTTTGAGCACTGTGAGGCACATTTGAAAGTAGAAGGGTTTAGAGGTGTTTGGTTTTTTTTCGTTTTTTTTTTTTCTGGTGCCTGAGCCTGGATGTAATATAATGTTGCTAAGTGAGCCCTGATGCACCTCTCTTCACTGAGGCTTGTCCCCTTCAAGGAGATCTGCTCCAGAAAAGGAGGCAGAAGACAGAAAATGCTTCATGCCTTCTACTTACATTTGAAAAAGGGTTTGCTAGGTATCATGTAGCCAACTTCCTTCCCACTTACTTTATCTGCACTGAAACTGAGCAGCCTCTAGGGAAGTATTCAGTTATATCTGTGTATGGCAGTGTTCCCTAGCACCACAGCAGATGTCTGCATGTGTGTTAAAGATGAGAGAGGATGATCTCCAGCTCTGAAATACAAGGCCGCACAAGAGAGAAAAGTAAGACAAAAACAAATGGCCAGAGAACAAGGATTAGTGCAGGAGAGAGCCCAGAACCTATGACCAGCTGTCATTGTCAGAGGTAAGCTTATTCTTCTGAATAAGCCATGTTTTGGTAACACTGAACCTGAACAATTCTGTATTTTCTTCCCTGTCTCTTCACACCAGCCTAATCCTCAATATTTAGCAGATGAGAACACAAAGTTTGTCTAATGAAATCAACTACAACTATATGTAGAATTAGTGCTCACTACTTATCTGGAAGATAAGTTAAAGAGCTTCACATACAGCCTGAAGGTCTAAAGTATCACTGCAGTAAAGTCTTGCAGGGACACTTGACAGCTCCTGTGTTTTTCTCTGCAAAAACACAGAAGGCTGGAGTACAGGTAGTGAGAGTTCTTGTCCTTGCTTGGAAAAATGGCCAAAGTTGGTCCACAAGCGGTCTGTCAAGCCAAATAGCTGGCTTTGAGCCCTCAGATTCAAATGTGCCCAGCATCAGTGTTGCCTTCCCCAAATCAAACTGTGGAAAGGAGCAGTAACTATTATTTAACAGTTTTCATTTCAATTAATATTGTAAAATAAAATTAATCTACACAAGTTTTATTAATGGATTATATTTATCCTGCAAGCATAAGGAAGGAAGTATATCAGAAATAATGGGAGAACAAAACCATTCTGAAATCACTCATCTGCTTAAAAGTGCCTGAAGCTCAGCTGCACTCACTGGGGGATTGTTTTAAGTAAAGGTACTCAGCCCTTCAAATTCAATTTTCTTGTAGCTGTTTGCCTTCAGCCTGATTTCTGTAACAGATACAATACAGAATCAATAGTTTCTAATTTGACTTTTACTGTTGCTGTCACAAAGCAAAATCTCACCTGTTCAAAGACACAAAACAAATGTTTGTATGTATTACTCAAAATTTAAAGCGAGTTCCTTTTAATTTCAAATTAATCAATATTTTATTCTTTAATATGAGGTGTTTACAATACCCTGCAGAAGCAGTGCAAAGCTACTGCGTCTTGAACCTGTCCAGGGCTTTTACATTTACGTTTTAGTTCAGAGCAGAAATTCAGTGCAGAGATAGCTTGGTGTATAATTACTCCTATCCCTGTTCCTCCTCCTGGTTCAAGCTATGGGAGCCGATGTGGCTCATGGACTCAGCTGATGCTTCAGCTGCTCCTCACACATTGTTTTCCTGGGAGAGCCTGGTGCAGGGGAGTGGAGCTTTCTTGCAGCCAGAAAGCTGCTTAACAGCACAGGCTGTAAGAAAAAGGCAGCCAGCTGGCTGGCTTACTGGGCACTGTAGATCAATGCTGATTAATGGATGCAGTTAGGTCTTGTTAGGCTGTTCCCCATTGTTTATGTGAGGAATCTCTCACATACACCAACTCAATTTTTACTGCTGTCATGGAGAAGAGCTGTTAGTAACAATTAAACTGAGCATAATTAGTGGGAAGGTCTATTTTTCAATTTCTATGTATGAGGCAGTAGTGTTACAGAACAGATTTTAGAAGTCTCTGCTGAGAGGGAGAAAATAACCAAACAACCTTCATGCTATGTTCTTAGCCTAGCTGCTAAGAAAATTTAAAACATTTTAAAATAAGCAGATTTAAGTTTCCAAAGTTGTATTTTATCTAGCTATCCTGCATTTTTCTTCTTGTCCTCTCACATCTGCTCGAGAGTGAGATCTAATTACGCTGATTACAGTAGACTTACTAAGGCTTGTACATGTGCTAAACTATAAGCAATTATCCTCCTTTTCCTAAGGGGAGTTACTTTCTTTTCTTTGTCCAGAGTTGCTCTTTCTCTACTTTCCCAACAAACTGCAGAATATCTTCAGCAAGAAGTTCAGGTTCCTCCAATGCTGCAAAGTGGCCACCTCGAGGCATGAAATGGAAGGAAACTATGTTGGTGTATTTCTTCTGGGCCCAAGCCTGGGGTGTGTGCATGACTTCATTAGGAAAGGAGGCAATGCCAGTAGGTACTTGTACTGTGAGCCTGAGAGAGAAGAGAGAATAATTTTATCTTTCAAACACTTCATTGAGCAAGAAATGGAGAGTCCCTTGGAAATGCTGTTCTTCAACAGTCAGGCAGACCTACTAGGCAATTAAAGCTGACTTCTAGGTCTTGAATTCGAATACTAGACAACACTCCTGTTTCTGAGGGGGAAACATACGTTGTGCATACGTTGATACAGATGGCAGTTTTGTAAGGGATCCATGACAGAAGAGAGAAACATGGAAACTGAGATTTCCAGGAGGCAGCGAGTATAAAGTTTCCTCATGCTGCAATCAGGGCTCAACAGTAATGTATTGAGGGAAAAGCAAATTGACAAGGGCTGAAGAGAAGAGAAATTTACAGTGCAAATTACAACTAGAACATGTTAAGCCTGTCAGGACAACGCGAGCGTTTGAGGAGAAGAACCTGAATGGTGGCTGCAAGGTGAAGGTGAGAAGAGGGAAAGTAATAATAGTAAATCTGGACTAGCTCAGAGAAAACACTTCTTACCATGAGATTCTGTCCTGTAAAGCGTACTCCAATAGACAGCTCTTGCTTTTAACTGACATGAATGTGCTCTACAGAATATTTTCTACACAAGGAAGTAAAGAGAAGCAATTGCATTTGAAGGAAAAGTACCTTAAAGATGGAAGTGTCCATCTTGTTATAAACAGATAATATGTTGAGGGCCTAAATATCCCATACACATGAGCCGCTTTGTCTGGAGTGACAAAAATTTTAAGATTTAGACAGAAGAGGATGCCTACTCTTACGTAGGTTCTTGAGACTCGTTCCTCTAGGCACACAGAAGTTCTGTATAGCTCATCTCATGTAGGCAGAACTGGAACAGGATACTGCCCACAGTGCAGCCACAATAGCTTCAAGAACTGTTCAAAAACTGAGTCAGCTTCCTGGGAGAATAATTTCACAGCTAAATAAATACCATAGCAGCGAGCTGTGGTTGCACATACCTCAGGGCAGGTTTACCTCTGCATTCATGAACTTGCAGCAACCATAAGACACAAACAACTTATCTGCAAACATAGAATTAAGTCCAAAACAAAATATTTAAAGAAAAAAAAAACACTTTTCATGTTTCTGTGTACCTATTCCTTTCTCAATATTTTCTTTGTAGAAACGCATTGAGGAGACGATGCAGCCTGACACCCAGTAGATCATGATGTTGGTGAGAAGATCATCCAGGTTAAACTTCCTGAACAGGTAAGCCCAGATATTTCTTAGTTACTAAGTTGTGCAAAATAGTATTTACTTATAAGGACTTCACTTTTTGTTGAAAGAACTGTTTAATCCATTAAGATAAAAAATGGAGAGAGGAATTGTGTTAACTCCCCCCTTCCTGTCAGTGGCCAAATAAACATGTTAAAGGCTTTCAAACACAAACTGGAAAGTGAAATTTTAACTTGTACAAGGAAGACAGACTCCAGCATAACTGTCTGTACTGTCCAAGTCTGGGAGAATAGAAGCAGCAGAGCCCATAAAACAGATTGCGCTATTATTCATAATTTAAAATGCTACCATAAGCTTTCAGTACAGGAATTGCAGGTACTCCAACATATGCAATAATTAGTGCAAATTCAATATCAAGTTGTAAGCTGTTTGCAGTGAAAACATTCTATGCAAATTCATTTTCATTGGATCCTTTTGTAAAATGCTGTTTTGTTCAATTCCTGCTAAGTACTTCAGCAGTTTTCAAAGGGAACTTCAACTATCTCAGATTTTTACCTCAGAGTAAGTGTGATCTCTTATTAGCAAACTGTACATAGATGAAGCAATACTAATTAATTTAAAGCAAGTTCACAGAACAGTTAAGTATGAATATTAAAGTGAAATTTGAGTTCTGTTTTCCAGCATCTTAGTACAGGTTAAGTTTTCATTTGTCTGTCCTAACACTGTACTTCCACTTAAGTTTGTTTTCATTCCACAGAAGCTGGGGGATGTATCTCTTTGTAGGAGATCAAACTGGGAAGTACAGCACTGCACCATTTGTAGTCTCTGCAAGTTCCTTATGAGATGTGATAGACATTCGTTTAGCTTTGACTTGAGGCTTAATCACCTCATCCGAAATAGCATTTACCTCTCAAGTCCTCCATCTTCTAAGTTACGGAATTCTGGATCGGTCCACACAGAAAATTTCTCCAAGATGTATGCAGCCAGTCCTACAGGAGAGTCATTCAAACCACAACCTAAAAAGGAGGAGGGAAATTTAACTATAAAGAGATATTCTACTGTTTTAGATGCTGCCCACTATAATACAGGGGAAGTAACTTTACAGAGCTATTCCAGCACCTGTGTTCCTAAATAGATTAATAGAACAAGTCAGAGCCATTTATTGTTGAATCATTAACACAGTACCTGCAAGTCAGCAGACTCCAAATTAGCTCATACTGAATGTTTTTAAACTGATGTAAGTGTTGGATTTCTGCTGGTTTGGTTTTTTATTTTTTCTTTTCTTTGTAAGCTAATAAGATTAAGCGGTATGTGCCAAGCAGGGTTTGCTTCCATTAATCTGGAAATTGGCAAGTATTAAACAGTACTACAGGGCCAAATCCTACATGCCTACACACAACCAGAAGAATTTACACCACTGTCTGATAGCAAAATTTTTTTAAGGATTATTAGAAATTAATTAAAGAAGAGCAAGGCTTTGTTAAAAGATCCACCTTCCACACTAGCAAAAGCAAAGTGCCTTAATGTAGAACAAGTCTTAATATAACTTTTACAATTGTTTTGTTTGGATTGAAAAAAACACACATGTAATTGGAACTTCATTAATACATCCTAGTGCCATGAAACAGGCACATATGGACTATGAACTGTTCAAGCTGCTCAGAAAAGTCTTAGAAAAAGGTTTTCCCGAGATATGGCAATATATTTGAAGTTCCACCTGTGCAACCTAACTGTGCTGTGAGACTACTAACACTACAGCTAGCACAACTTTACCTATAACTGCTATTTAAATGTGTTAGTTGAGTTTCAGTTAACAAACAAGTAACACTTGTAACAGATAGATACTAAGTGATCCAAAAAGCTAATTTAGCGTGCAGAATTGCGCAAGCAATATACTTCTCACATCACTTTGATGGGAACAAAGAAGAGTCCATCAGTTTACACACAGATAGATTTTACATTGATCCTCACAGTACTGTAAATACAGGCACTGCCTCTTCAATCATCTGAAAACGAACTCACACTTCACGCAAGTAAGTATAAAACCAAATTCATGCAAGCCAGTCTGATCAAAAGTCATCTCAGAAACAGCCAACATACTAGTATCAGCCAAAAGTCAGAAATGACTTCCCTGCTTAGGACAGCTCCACGTCATACCATGTACCACCAGAATACTCAGGAAGACCTTCGCAGCCTCCCTAGCTGGGCTTCTCTCAGCTCCTTTCAACTTCCTTCTCCTGGGTGTCATTTTCCCTGGAAGTCTTCCCCTCTGCTGTTCCCCCTCTCTTCACTGTGCTCCAAATTACTCCTGCACCAGCTCTCAGAACGTGAACTTACTGCTGGTTCCCAATCTGTAATGTCTATACAGTCTGCTATGGCAAACCACAGATCACAGCTAGGGACCAGAATTGGTCAGAAAACCACAAGAGATTAACCTGTGACTAACTAGGTACCTGCCGGCTTCCTCATCTTCTCTTAAAGCAAACAAGTAACTAGAAACTGATAACTTTTGGAAATCACAACTCAAAGCAAGCCAAATTATTTCAAATCCATAAAACTATTATTTTGCCAGCGTTTTTAGAATACACCCATTTCTGTACCTAAGTTTATGGAAGGACGTTAAGAAATAGTTTCTACAGCTCTGTTTTTATTAAAACCTATAGTGAGTGAGTTCTGCTGCACTAAACTAAAATACATTTAGTATTCTTGACTCAGTTTTTCAATTCAGCTGCAAAAGATGCTTTTAAAATAGAAACACTTAATACTTAAAACAGTTAAGCAACCTGAGCGATTAGCAGAACATTCATAGGGATACACATTTCGTTTTCTTGAAAGTCTGCAAGTGATTCATAGCAATGAGTAAGAACCAAATTTGATTTTATCTTTCAGGTATTACTTATGCCTATAAATAAACTAGCTTGCATGCTGACACAGCTAAAAGCTTTTTGGAGTTTACATCTTTTGACTATGATTGATTCTCTGTAAAGAAACTGTCTTTTGTTCTCAGCATAGCTGCATTTGTAATACAATTACAGTCCCCAGTGGCAGCAGATGTGGAAAAGTATTATGCTATTTTTATTTATGAAAACTGAAAATGAGGTCAGTGGCACTTAGAGGGTGCTTGCTTTTGATGTACAGATGTATCCCTTTTGTGTGCAAAAGTGAGTTTAATACTAGATACCCATCTACCATAGAATGGCTTGGGCTGAGAGCCATTCCAAAGACTATCTCATTCCAACCCCCCTCCTAGTCCGTTACGACTTATATGTATGCAGAAGAAGAACCTGCTGTTTAAAACCTCTAACTTTCCTACTTCCATTTCTGTGAAAAACACTCATCTTCTGCGTATTTCAACAACGTGTTTTGTTTGTATGACATTACAGATAAAATTAAAATTAAAAGTATTTTTGTTTATTTCTTTACCAACAGTATCAGGTGTTGTAGCCTGTATGTGAGCATAGCCAGACTCCGCCAAGATCCTGTAGAGCCCTTTTTTCAAGAAGGGAAACATCCGCCTGACGTCTTCCTCGTGGAAACCAAAGAGCCTTGGAAGGTAGCGGCCCAGCAGAATGGAGAGCAGGTGGGTGAACCCCATGTTTGTAACTGAGGCTAGGTTTAAATGAAGACCTTTCAGATGGCTAAAAATAAAAACAGAAAAAGCCCCCACAAATTACTGAAATAAAATATGATTCAAAGTTGTTAAATGTGAAATATAAGTTTATGATGCTTTGATAGATATAAATGTTGTTAGGTGTTATATTACTAATCTATAACCTATATAAAATAGATTACATATATAAATGTACATATATAAAAAGTTACATTTAAAATATACAGAAATGGGCATCCTTTAATTCCAGTCTCCCAATTACATCATTGCTCATGACCTTGGTTGTACTTTGTAATGTTGCTTTTCACACAAAAACAAGTCAAAGCAGCGGCTGCCAGTGGTCAGCATACAAACCCAGCTACTAAGCCCCAAATCCTCCTATTGGTATAAGTACTCATACCATTCCAGTCCCTCTGGTACCATCACAAAGCTACAGCACAACTGTTTGTGCTGGGGTACAGTTCTGGATCGCTGCTTTGCATAGAGCACTGAGGAGGAAAACGACACAGTACTCGCTTGGTTCAGGACTTGGTTTGGAACAGTCAAGTCACACAATCACAGAATTGTAGGGGTTGGAAGGGACCTCTGGAGATCAAGTCCAACCTCCTCCCAGATAAAGCAGATTCCCCTGCAGTAGGTCACATAGGAGAGTGTTGAGGTGGGTCTTGAATATCTCCAGGGAAGGAGACTCCACAACATCTCCGGGCAGCCTGTTCCCATGCTCTATCATTTTCACTGTAAAGACCATGAGCAATAGCTATTTAAAGAGTAAAATAGCTTTATACACGAGTCGTGTAGCAGTGTATCAAATGAGTACTCACTTAGGAGCTATCTGGGCCAGATTGGTGCAGATGAGCCAGCCCCAATCACCCCCTTGTGCGTAGAACTCGTGGAATCCCAGTCTGAGCATCAGTTCATACAATACAGAAGCAGCGCTTACAGAATTAAAGCCTGCAATAAAAAAAAAAAAAATTATTGCATTAATTTCAGCTGCACTTCTGAATGTACAGCGTTTATTCTCCCTGTCATGACAACAGTCAAATTCCTAAAAATATATAAGTCCATTTTTCCTCACCTGTCCAACAGTATATGGAAGCCCTTGTCACGTTGTCTGGGTAAGGTCCAGAAGAGGAAGCCCAGCCTTCACTACAGACTCTGTTAACCCCACCTGTTCTCCATGCATTTGGCCCACTAAGAGTTTGCTGGACTCCTTCACAGTCATACTCTAGCTGAGCCCTGTCAGAGACACTTGGCATTGCCCAGGGAATGTGTTTCCGTTTTGTCTCTGTGAGAACTGTCTTATCTTAATGATAGCTAGAAATTGTCTTATTCATGAGTTTTCACTTCATAACTTTGTGTAGTCCTTTCTAAATGATCTATATATTACTCCTGAAACTAATTAATGGTGACACCTGAAGTCTCACTCATCTCTCTCTGTCCATGTGACATGTGAAATCTTTGCTTCTATGCTGGGAAAACAAGAAGAGACAGAAGTTACCATCTGCCAGTAGAGGCTATCTTGCTATGAGTGTGGACTTTTGTTAGTTCAGTTTCTTCTTATATATCTTACCTTTTTTGTGAGGTGCTTCTGAGAAGCCATATCCAGGGATAGAAGGGCAAATGACTTCAAATACATGTTCACTGTTGAGGCCATGGCTGGCAGGATCCGTCAGTAGAGGGATAATTTTGTAAAATTCATAAAATGAGCCAGGCCAACCATGAACCATTAACAATGGCTTTGCAGACTGGCCCTCAGGCAAATGAGGAGGCTTTACATGAACAAAATGGATATCAATGCCTGAAAAAAAAAAAAAAATTAACATGCCTAAGTTTGCTATGATGCTGAAACTAATTACACAATAGATTCTGAATAAATCTTTTCTGATTTTTTTGTTGTTGTTGTGAGCATGCAAGTACCCTCTGGATCCATGTTATCCAAGAAGCTTAAAGCACATTATAAGGTGCAGTTAAGCATCACAGCACCTAAATGGGGGTGTCATCTTTCTGTTTTAAAATAAATTGTAAAAATAAGACACGGAAGGGAAGCAATCTACCACTGCTAACACTGTGACTCAACTTAAAAGCAGACGAGACGATTACATCATCTAGATCAAGAGCCCTTGAATTTTACCCAAATATCCCTATATGGCACCAGCTTCAGTCAGTCACAGATTTTTCCTCCTCAAAGGCATACAGTTGCAACTTGAAGGCAGCAAGAGATAAGGAATCCATCATAAGCAACAGCTGTTTATTTAGGCATTAATCACTTTCCTTATTTTATCCGTGCTTGACTTCTCATTTCAACATGTCTAGCTTCTTTCTTCAGCCATTGATCTTAACGTTAGAGCAAAAGGAATTTTAAAAGCCATCACTATGCATTCTCTGTCTGGAGGCCTGTGATCAAGTCACACTTCTGAACTTTTGATGAACTAACTAAGCTGAATCAAGGATTTGAAAAACATGTTGCTAAGAGCTGAAGAGTTCAACTTTCTTGATTCCACTCTACTTTTTATCCAAGCCTTTCAGTATATTTTTGATAAATTAGAATAGAAAATTACGTTCTTGTACCAGCCTGGTCATTGTAAAGCAAGAAGGTAAAAATTGCGGTTCTATTTTTTTCCATGATCCTTACAATATACTAGTGGACTTCATACAGTGTTGCTTTAGGACCTACAGGTTAACTGCTTTTCTTCAAATCCATTCTGATTTTCCTGGAAACAATAATTTGCTCTTAGTGGAGCCTGAATGCTTCATTTTATAATGTAGTTAAGCACATTACACTTGCATCAACTCCACTTCATCCCAGCCTCTCTCACTGGCTGAGAATCCCCCTCCTTTACAATTCTGTGGATTTCTGTATTCTCTGAAAAACATTCAGTTGATGACAAAAGCTAAGGATCCAGTATTCGACATCTGATCTTGTCTTTTCATGGCAATCGCTCTTAATGTTCAAATCTTTCTTCTTGTTGCTATACACATGGCATTGTTCTTAACTTCTTTTCCCTTTCTTGTCTCAGGTGGTATTTCTTTTTCCTCCTTTTTTTGGTCACAAATTTATTTTAAATATTACAGGTTAACTGCCCCATGTGCATTTTTATGGGGGCAAGTAAAAATAATATTGCATAATCTTAAGCGTGAATTTTACAGTCACATAAAACAACTGTCTGCTTTGCCTAAATCTATGGCTGTATCACCAAATCACCCAAATACGTCCCTAACTGAAGTATTTAAAACATCCAGTTTGACCAAGCTCCAATAATAACAGACCTTAACTGAATGGCCTCTTTCAAAATATGTATGTTTTGAATGAAAAGACAAAGCAGTCACTTGGACCTGGCAACACATCAACTCTATAGGAAAAGCACTCTGCCTTCCTAGGTCTATGAGAGCCTGAAATGGTGCAGCAGGGCATGTTGGCCCTGCCAGGCAGGGATAAACATGATCAGCCAGCACACTCAGCTGATGATCCTGCCAGACTGACAGCATCACCGTGACAGCAGCAGCTGGGGAGCTGAATGGAACAAGAGGTGGCATCTGTGGGTATTTTTGCATGATTGCATGCAAGTCAGGGAACATTGCTACATCTCAAGATGCAAATCCATTTCCGAATGCTTGTGCTTGGCTCTCTTTAACACCAGCTGACAAGCCATCCATGCACAGGGAAATTCTGTTTGTCCTAAGGGGTTTCAGCTACAATGAGGTGGTTTCTCACTTCTGCTGTAGCAGTGGCAAGGATCCACATTATGGCAGCCAAGAGGGAAGGCTCATGCAACATGGCCAAGAGTGTTCTTACACTGAGATCCCTGTAAATGAGTTTATGTATTACTATTTATTTTTAAGGGAAAAAGCCAGATACCTTGAATCTTGGTTTTGAAGTGTGGATACTTGTTGAGAACTTCAACTTGTTTCTTCCAGTTGAACTGGTTTTTCCAGTAGGAGACAACCTTCCTGAGATATGCCAAGTTAATCCCATAATGGAAGCAACTGTCCTCCAGTGGCTCAGTGAATCTAGCCTGGTCAAGTCTTCTAAATAAGTCCTACAGGGAAAAGAAAAGAAGGGAGGGATGTTACAAGCACTTGTGTCTGCTGTCTTATGACCTACTGTGTATGGTTTCTAATTATTCCCAAGTGGAAAGTCTGAATAATGTCTTCAATGATGACTGTGCCTTTCACCCATGCTCCATCACTTTTTTTCAGTCCTTGTTCTCCTTCAGATGCTCTCTGTTCCTCTTCCAGTTACAGCTGTTCTTAATACCTTCACTTTCTTTAGCAGCACTGACTAATCTGTCTGCCAGGGCTGTAGCCAGAGAGGATAGAACACAAAAAGCAATACTGTGCTATGAAGAAGCTTGCTTATGCTATTCACCTCCATATCACATTACTACTATTTTTGTGATTTTTTTGTGGTTTTTTTTTTTTTTTTTTTTTTGCCAGCTGAATATAAGATAGGGCACTTTATAAACCGATTACCAAAAGTATCAAATTAACCTCACAATGTAAGTCTTCTTGCCTTTTCATGGTAAGTTATTCCCAGGACTACCTTTGAGCCTAGTCTCACAGAGAATGCAGTAAATGCTCATTGCTCTCCTTCCCAGACCAAGCTGCTGGCCTCCTTCACTGTGAAACACTGAGGATTTTACACAGTTAAAGAGTTGGTGAAACTAGACTGGAGTGAACGTTTCCAAATCATGTAAGGTCACTACTGCACTTCATGGTCATGGGGGATGCTACCAATACTGCAAATTCAGTCCAAAATCACTCAGCAGGGAAGGACAGCCAAGAGCCCCTTCTTCCTGAAGCAGAACCACAGAATAGTTGAGATCTGGAAATCCTGCCCTACTCAGGCTTAAGCCCTCTGTAGGGCTTAAACTTGAGCAGCACATTTTAATAAAGATAACTCACATTTTCTAAGACAAGTTAGGTGTATGGCTGGCTCATGCCTCACACTGAACAGACAGATACTAGTACATAAGTTTGGTTGTGTTTTTGTTTTTTTTTTTGTTTTTTTTTTTTGCAATTAATACATGTACAGAAAACATGGATTTTTAAATGAAGCCTTTAGCACATTTTGACATACAAGTTTTTTGTCCACACTCAACATTCACAAAAAAAAAATAAAATTGTAACATACTATAATTCCTAGCTTACATAAGAATTTATTTAAAAACAGTTTGTTACTGATAGATTATGTTGCAATAGCTGTTATAAAACCAAATAATGTGTATCACTAAAATCCTAAGGTTATAAATTATGTAGCTTTTATCTGTAATATAAGGATAAGATGTATTGGAAATGAGTGTCCACTGCTATTACTAAGGAGGACAACAAAGTCCTAAAAAATCCAGGCCTAACTGAGAAAATAGTCATCTAGAGACCCATTGTAAATGAATAATATGTGCAGTCCCAGGAGTATCATTTGAATGATTACTCCATAGAGATCTATGAAATTGTGCAATCCCTGACAAGCACTCACAATCAAGGTCTTGTTATCTAGCGAATTCTGCAATGCATGTATTTACTGTAATTAACACTGTATTACTGTTGACCCAAGTAGATCATAAATTACAGAATTAGCATCCAAGGCAGCTGCAAACATAAGGCACTCAAGAAAATGAGATAAAATTATTCTTTTTTTTTCTTTCAAAACCAAAGATATTCTTTGTATTCTGGTCTATACAATCAAGCAGAGTAAGGTGCACAAAGAGGAACACAGCTGAGTAATCTGTAATATTATTTTCATGTTTATTAGGCCTTATAGAGGAGGCTTATTTGCTAGCAATCTTGAGACAGCTGAAAACAGAACAATATAGCAAAATGTGGAATCTGTCTATCTGTTTCTATTTTCTGAAATACTAAGTCCCTTCCCCCAAGCCCTCCACACTGGTCAGTCATTTTCACAAATATTTCACATTGGTTCAGTGTAAAATATACTTCCAGCAAGGCCTGTATTTATTTGGCCATTTCTGACTTCTTTTTCCCCAGTACAGAGATTTGCTTACGCTCAGCTCTTCTTCTGTAGTTTCCACCTTGAATGGCCTAATTGTTGCATCTTCTTCAGTGTCAGGCTTCTGTCCCTTTCCCCACCATCCCTCTTTGAATGGGAGCGTCTCTTCTTTCTTTTTGGAAACTAGGAAATAGATGATGATTCCCCCCAGAATCAGGAATATCTCCAGCAGCATAATGCCTGCAAGAGAAGAACAGAACTGATGAGCCCCAACAGATAGCTCAGGGACATGTGATATACTTGGTTAAGGCTGTAAAGGTTTACTTGCTTTCTAAGATAGGATTTGGTCTACATGTTTACAAGATGTTCTGTTAGCCTCAGGATATCAACACGGCTGTAAGATTATAGATCTTATATATATATACAAAAATAAGATGTTTTAACCTACACATCTCAACTGGAAAAGAATTAAGCATTTTACATAAATGAAACTTAGTAAAAATAGGAGTTAAAGCAGGTCAAGAGAATATATGGCTTGATAATTAAGCAGTCCTCTGATTAAACACACTTCCTCATTGGCTATTGATTGCTGCTGGACTTCTTCAATAGCAAAGGCTGTAACTCAAGTTCAGAGCATCCCAAGTAGAACATCTCTTCAGTAAAGCTCATATTAAAAAAAAAAAAAAAGAAAAAGAAAAGGTGTATGCAGAATGAGAAACAAGAACATGAGGGCAGCCACCTTGTATCTCCCCATCACTCTGGAGGAGGGGAAGTATTTGCATAAGAGTGGAAGGGCCTTCCCTTTCTTTCTTCCTCAGAATGTTTTTGAAAAGAAAACAAAAGATCACAGACATGCACTCCAGCTCTAGAACACCTCTCCACAGTCACTAAAGATCTCTCGAGGTGAAAAACAACCTGATCTCATGGCAACATATGCATTACCTGCCTGCAGAACTGCTGTGTCTTAGTCAAACAGAATATCGTTAAGAAAAAAAATCATTTTGAATATATTTGAACTGCTTCATGCTGCAAGTAGAAAAAAAAAAAAGGTTACTCATTCTCCTCAACAATTAATATTTTCAAGCATCCCTTTAAGTACAAGAAATGTTTGCTGGGGAACACTGCTGTCATCTTCTTAGTGTATAATTTTAAAGGATGTCACGATTCAAACACTCATACGCTGAGGAACTGATAAAACATTAAGTACTTCAAAACTTCCATAGAGCAGGCATTGTTTATGGGGGGCACTGAGCAGCACACATTATCTCCAAACCTGGGAGGTTTTGTTGGTTTTACTGCTGCTGTGAAATAATTTGATGCTCTGGAATTGCTCAAATAGTAAACAGAACAGACCAATCGTATTCCTGGCTCAAAATAAGAACTGTAGCAAAAGTTACTCAAGTTCACATGTAACAGGGGTAAGGGTGACTTTATCTTGTAAGCGCTTTTATATGACATGATACGTTCACTTAAGTTGAACTTTCTAAAGGTTGACATATAATAAGTAAGGCAATTAGATGGATAAAAGCATTGAAATAAGCACCCAATAAAATGTTCGTAGAGAAGTCAGGCACTATGCAGATAGGACAGCAAGTTACAGAAATGTATCACTTACACATACAACTGCTACAGCCTTGGAAGTGACCTAATATTCCCAAATCCTCAGTAGCCAGAGAAATGAGAATGATTGGCACTGGAAGAATTTGATCTTTCTATTTGCTTCATGGATCCTTCCGTACTATCTGTAATTTGAGAAAGTGCTGCTTTTCCTCTGCCACGTACAAGGCAAGTCTCTAAGTGATTCCACTATACTTGAATCACAGATTATCCCAGAATTAAAGAGCACAATTACATTTTACTGCAGAACAGAACTCGAGGGGCTTTTAGAAACTTCAAAGCACTTTACACAGAAATAATAACTACCACGGCATTTAGTAGATAGGATTTCTCCTGCTACGTATTCACAGAGAACAGCAGTTTCCCCCATATCATGACACCACTCCTGCCATGTCTAGACTACAAAGGTTTGCTAGCAAAGCTATGCAAACACCACCTATAAAGGGAAATATCTTGCACTCAAACACTGCGCTCCTCGGCTACCATAGCTTGAATAATGTGCAGTACTTACACCTCTGAATGGTGCTATTAAGCCGTATCAGTAGAAAGCAGCAAGGGCATGGGTGAAGCAAGAGATCTAAGAGACCATACTGCTTTCAGACACACACCAGAGGTTACTGTGATTAGTGTTAATAACATTTTTGCTCCAAGGTTGGTTTACTAGCAAATTGTGAGGTGGCTCAGAGCACTTAGCACACTACGACACTGACGGATATAGGATTTATTGATTAATAATTACTCCGCAGGAGAAATAATGGCTCCATTTAGAGATGATGTTTCAGTTTATTTTTGTACCGTTACATAACCCCCCATTAGGTTTTACTGAACATGTTCCCCTCTGCCACAGCATCTCTGTTTACAGACCGATTTGCCCGGAGAGCAGCAATTACAGGTGACTTTTACCAGCAGATGTGGAAAGAAGAACCACTGAAGGACTTCATGAACTCACAGCACCTGTAACAGAGTCTCTTCACACTGACAGCCTAAAAGGGACAAAGCCATGGCACAATCTATGTGTTTCACCTTCAGCCTGTGGTCCTACCATATTTGGGCACCCCATTTTGGCATTTCATAACACCAGAAGCAAGTAGAAAAATGAGGGCATTTGTATAAGAAAAGCTTTCTACTTATGTAGTTTATGGAGCATGATGACAAACTTCAAAATAGCCAAGCAATGCAGGAACTGCTTTGCATACAACTGATAACATCTCCCGAGTGAGCACAAAACGATCCATTAACATTGTAGGAAAAGAGGAGCGGTAAGCAGCGGGTGAAATAAAGCATCCCACGCAGGAAAGCAAATCAAAGACAGGAAATACACATCCAGGAGAGTTTCTGGTTTGTCTTGATAAGAAATTTAACATTTACATTTTTATTGCCACAGGGAGGTGGCATACAATGATACCTCCAAAACAACAGGAAGAGGTGATACAATCCCGTTCCAGTCTTTTTCTAGATTGTTCGCTGCTAGGAGTTATGCAGGCCAGCAGGAGCCTAAGACCTAAGGAGAGGCCTACAAACAAGGAAGGAGGTCACCTCCCCAAGAATGGGAGCCCTGCTGTCCCCTTGGGGGGAAGGACAGGAATGGGACTGCAGGTGACGACAGGGCTGGGGATATGCCTCCAGCACCACTGAGGGCTGTGCAGAGGAACACCCAGCATCTGTGGCAGTGAGGCACGGCTCCCTAGCAGCTACCTACCTGCTTTGCCCTTTGGACAGCAGCAACCATCAACAGAAGGCTGGTTTAAGGTTCTGAATGCACCACTCAGAGCTTTTGCTTGCGAGTTAGTTTGCTGCACCTCATTCTGGAAGAGCATTTAAGTACCTTTATAACACATTCCCACCTATTCTGCCATCCTATGATAGCCAAGCAGCATGAACTTTTCAGCACTGCACTGAAATCTGATAGGTGGGGAGACTCGAGCCTAGATAAGCATAAAGTAAAAGTATTATGGGACTAAGTTCACTGTTAGCCAATTTGCCTCACCCAGAGAAGGTGTATTTATACAACCACCGCTTGGTCAAAGCTTATCTCATAATTTAATAATTTAGTATGCAGTATTTTAAGAGGAAGGAGCTCACTTTACAAGAACACATATTGAAGCAACATTACTTGCTCTTTCAAATCCATACCCAACGTATTCCTATGCGATACTTTAAAACACGTCTTGTTTATCTCAGTTTTCTTATTTTGCTTCTATAATGTTTGAATAACCCCATTTCCTCCAAAGAGTCAAAAACCCCAAATAAAACAACGACTACGGGTTGCATAAACACACAGTGGCAGAATCTGCCCCAGGCTGTCTGTGCTGCGTGTTGCTGTAACCAAATGGTGGGCATGATTTGGGGGAAAGATCTGTTTCTCTGTGTCTGAAGGCTGCTAAAGTATTCTTAAATCAGCATGGTTCTGTTAGAAAAATGAAGGCCAAAAGAACTGTTTTAAACTTCCATAATAGTATTTGACAGCTACAGCGTTAAGGTTGGCAAACACAAAGATTCTGTGCAATTTATCCTATCTAGCAAATTCCAACAAGATAAGCAAACAAGAAAAATATAATTTGCACACATGCAAAGAAGTGACAGCAGCCTGGCAGGCAGCTCAGGGGTGAACACAGCTGGAAGCTGGGTCTCCCAGATAGGCATCTCTCAAATCAAGCTAAAGAAGTGGAGGATATCATGCCAGTAAAAAGTTTTTCAGGCTGTTCATAGCCACTGTCCAGCAGTTAAATAACACCGTTCAATTGAAATCGACACTCAAGTACATCTTGAGCTTTACTTCAACATTTAATTTCTAACGTGAAAAAAGAAATGATGAATAGCACATTGTTCTGTTTTGCCTTCTAGCGACAGTGAGCTTAACCACCTCTTTGTATGCCAATATCTGCATTGTACAGATGGGAATGGAAAAATGTGCACACGAACCAAGAGAGTTTGATATAAACAGATAAGGAAATGAGATTGAGGTAATTGTTCCTCAGACCTTAAGCTAAGTTCAGGCTCTATTTTTAGCTTCACCAAATTCTGCAGTGCTAAATATTTAAAAGCTGCCTCCCTCCCTTGCAATGATATTGCCAATGCTTTGCCCAGCCTGACCTCCAGGTCAGATGCAGATTCATCCTGCACAGCTGCTGCTACGGCGCAGCACATGTCCTGCTGCTTACAGTGGGATTTTACACAGTAATTCTCTTAAGATTCCTCCATTAAATCAGAGAGATCTTCATTACCTAGCAGCTTTACAAGCTTTTTGTATTAGCACTGTGAGGAAACTGTTATTAAAACCTTTAATTACTAACACATGCAGACCTGACATGCACGCGGGGGTGCCTAGCAGAGGAAAAAGAGTGCCAACAGTTAGAAATGTTGTACTCCAAAGTACATCAGAACAAAGGACATGATGATCTTTCAGTTAAAAGAAGGTTTAGAGGCGGAAATGACAAATAAAAGACTGACAGGAGATGTTTCTGGCAATCTGTAAGACAGTGAAATGAGGTGCACATTGTAAATTAAATGAGGATCATGACTGCAAGCAGAAAGGAGTAGCACGAAAGACAATATGAATGAAAATGTATCAGAGATTTAAAAAAAAAAAAGTATTTTTCTTAAATAATTGTGACTATGGAAACAGGAAGAGACCACAACTTGTAATCTCCCTATGAAGACTTCATTCTCAAAGAGAAAAGGAACTTTAGATGATGATGAGAGGAACAGATGGTAGTCATCATTTTCTGTCAAATACTGCAACACCAAGAGGATGTGCCAGTGTAAACATGTAATGAGAACAATTCTTCCTTCTTCATCTCTCTCTTAATAATAACTAAATGTTGGAGTTCTCTTTGGATTTGAGGGCTTCGTTCAGAAGTGCACTACCCGTACCCACCACATTAGAGCACTTAATGCTGAAAATGAAGTAGCCGAGAGGACCGGTCCTGCAATCATGCTTTGGTTTGGATTCTTAACATACAGCCACGTAATCTGACAGAAGGATCTACGGGGCAGCAGGGTATGTTTAGTGTGCAGATGTGGTGGGCAGCTAGGACCTACGGAACAAGCTGACAGAGCAATAACTAAATGCCTTCAGGGCAGAAATGAAAATAAAACATCTACCGCATCTACCAACAGAGCAATCCGCACAGAAACATTCCAGCAAGCAGAAAGCATTCAGTCAGTAACACCGCTTCAATAGCCGTAGCAGCTGATAACGCTGCTCTAAAACAAAGCCAAAAGAAAACCCCGAACAGAACGCAGAGGACGTCCACGTCTTCACGGCAGCCGCCCACCTGGCTGTGCAGACTGTGACCAAGGCACTCAAGCACATGTCATTTCAGAAGCAGAATTCTGTTAACTCAGCGCTTTACCCTTTACATAGAGGTCCATTTGCACACACAGCAGCTCTTTTAATTAAAATAACGTATTCAGAAGTGGAATCTGGGACTTTTTCAGTAGTAATTTTCAGAAAGAAAAAAAAAAAACAACAAAAAAAACCCCGTGTTTCAGCCTTAATTACAAGCAGACCGGAGCTCTTCGGAGAGAAAGACTGCTTTCCAAACGCCTTTTCTTTGGGGACTTGCGCACTAATTAGAGCTCCGTTTGCCACGTCTGGAGCGGCACCGCTCCCGCTGGTTCCTTCGCGAGCAGTTCCCTTTCCTCTCAGCTTTCAACAGGGACGGCGGGCAGCGCAGCGCGGCGCGGCGCAGCGCCCTCCACTCGGAGGCACTCGGAGGCACTCGGAGGCACTCGGAGGCACTCGGAGGCACCCCGCGGCTCCCCCGCCGCCACCCCGGCCCCGCCCGCCCTCCCGCGCTACCTGCCGCGGCCGGATCGCGCCGCGCCGCGCCTCGCCTCTCTGAGCGCCGGCCCTGTGGCGCGGTGCCGCGGGCCGCCGGGAGCTGTAGTTCCGCGACGGGGGGCCGGGCCGCTGCGAGAGAGCGAGAGACCGCGTGCGGTGGGGGCGGCCCTACCGTCCTCGGGCTGGCGGCGGGCCCCTCCCGCGCGGGTCGCGTTCGACACCGAGCCGAAACCGCGTGCTGGGGAGCAGCGGGCCCGCCGGGCTCCGAAACGCGGGCAGCCGAGGCTTCAGCCCAGCTAACGATGTGCTGCTGCGGTGCAGAATCGGCACGGGCGAGTAGCGAGAGATCGCAGGTGAGCTGCCCGTGTCTTCTCAGACAGACCCCCCGGCCCGCGCGGCGCTGTGCAGCGGGGCTGGCTTACACGCGTTCCGACTCCTCCGCCCCCCGAGCTGCTGCGTTGGGCAGAGCAGCTGTGAATCTAAGGGAAGGAGAGCACGGAGAACGCCTGCTTCTTCCCCAGGCCTGCTCTCCAGGGCATGTATGTTCTCTAGCTAGGTGTCCCTGTTCATTCGGTCTATTTCACCCAGTTGGACTAGATGGCCTTCAAGGGTTCCCGTTCAGCTCCAATGGTTCTGTGGTTCAGTGTCATCTGAACTTGGTTACAGAGATCAGAGTGAGCCTCAGAAGAGCAAGCTGCAGCCACGAATGCCAGTAGTATAAAGTCATACGCTCATAGAATCACCAAGGTTGGAAAAGACCTACGAGACCATCCAGTCTAACCACCTATCACCAATAGTTCTCACTAAACCATGTCCCTCAACACATTGTCCAACTGTTCCTTGAACACCTGCAGGGCTGGTGGCTCCCTGCAGAGGGACAATTACTTCCCCACTCCTGCTGGCCACACTATTTCTGATGCAGGCCGGGATGCCATTGGCCTTCTTGGCTGTCTGGGCACACTGCTGGCTCATGTTCAGCCAGACATCAACCAACACCCCCAGGTCCGTTTCCTCTGCAGTCTTGCAGTCACTCTGCCCCAGGCCTGTAGCATTGCCTGGGGTTGTTGTGGCCAAAGTGCAGGACCCGGCATTTGGTCTTGTTGAACCTCATCCCATTGGCCTCAGCCCAGCTATCCAGCCTGTCCAGATCAAGTAAGAGCAAAGCAAGCAGCTTACACTCGTTTTTGGCTCTTAGAGGTCATGCCATTCCATCTCAGTTTTCATCTACCACTTTTTTTTTTTTTTTTTCCTAAGAGCTGGTATTTGTTAACAGCCAACAAAAAATAGAGGAGGGGAATGGCCATGTTAGACACTTATAGGACTAGAAGTGTGAGTGAAACTGCATAGAACCCTGGGGAAGGACCATGTAAACAAGAAGAAACAACCCACATGTTGGTGGATAACAGTTTTTTTATTTTACAATATATGGAATCACAGGAAATCATAGAGGTTGGAAGGGACCTCTGAAGATCTTCAAGTCTCCACAACATCTCTGGGCAGCCTGTTCCCATGCTCACAGTAAAGAAGTTTGTTCATATGGAACATATAACAAATGAACAATGCAGAATCTCCCTCTATTGAAGCTCAGATTTGAGAACAAAATCATTATTAAATCCACAAGTAGAAGAAAGTGAAGATGCAACTGCATCCTCTTCCCAAAGAAAAGTCACCATGGTCAACTACAAGGAGAAAATAAGATGAATTAGCCTTATTAGATATTAGCCTATTAGATATAAAGAGCAAGATTAAATTTAAAATAGATGGAAAAGAAGAAAGGAAAAAAGAGTCAAAAGGAAGTTTAATAAGAGAAGTTGGAAGAATGAGGAAGGAAAGCCTTTTTTCTGATCCTGAAATCAAAGAGCCCCATCTCTCTAGTGATAGAACAAGAGGTAAAGGCCTTAAGTTGCACCAGGGGGAGTTCATGTTGGATATTAGGAGACATTTCTTCTGAGAAAGAGCAGTGAGACAGTGGCACAGGCTGCTCAGGGAGGTAGTGGAGACACCATCTTTGGAGGGGTTCAAAAAACATAGAGATATAGCACTGAAGGAAGCGGGTTAGTAGGGGAACTGATAGGTCATGGCTTGAACTGGTGATTGAGCACTGGGGAAGAGGTGTGGCTGGCCTAGGAAGCACAGGCAAAGTATTTGCATCTGTGCTCCCCATGTAACCAGAAGGGGTGGGACCAGGATGGCTCATATAAGAGCTGGCCACTAAAGGAAGAAGAACATCTCTTGGACCTGGGCTGCTTCCTGAAGAGGTGTCTGTGTGGGGAGAGAGCCTCATCATAGCTGGGTGAGTTCAATTCTTCTTCATGTCTATGACTATTGGTCTATCTGCAAGTACTTTGCCTTTTTGCCTTGTGTTGCCAATAACCTGTTAGAAGTGATGTTGCTTCTTTGTGAGTAGAATGTTAGTTATGGGGGATGTGGGTTGTTGGTTTTATGTGATAATCTTGGTGAGCTTCTTCAGCCTTTATGATTCTGTCGGTGAAATGGTACCCTGTAGATGTTGCAGTGTTTGAATGGGTTATTGTGAGGAGCTACCTGGATGCAGACAGGAGATACCTTCCAAACATTCTGGTTTGGAGTAGCTGTGCATTGGGCAGCTACTACTGATGTTGTGTATGCTTTCCTACATGCTGCTCGCTCTCAATCCCAACACTCGGTGTTTTAAGAGTTACCACACAGTTCTGTGAATCTGTGGGATATTCCTTTACCTTGTAGCACATGTTCAGTTGTGGAGTCTCTGTCTGAGAGGCTTCTAGAGGCTCTGAGTGAGAAACTACAGTCTTTACTTCTGTACTACTAAGTGGTGTACTACTGTTGTCTATATGAACTAGAACAACATGAAAATGTATTCAGTTACTGACTGTTTTCCACATAAATTTTATGTGAAATCTACACTATAGAGCATTTTACAGACAAACATGAGTTTTTACAAGCAAGCTAGGGAGATAGCAGAATATGAATAATTGAGGTTCTGTGGTGGTCTAAGCCAATCTAACTGCTGGCTCTTCTATTCCAATCGCTCTTCTCAGCCCTCCTGAGATCCACTGAGTCCTAACTTTCCTTTCCACAAGCACTCATCTGACCTTTGGTGATGCTGTGTCAGGACACAAATCAGGCAGAATACTATAATAGCAGGTCTCCAGATTAAGCTTTTTGATACATTGATAAATGGAAAGGGTTCAGCCAAAGCTCTGAGGTGTGCTAGGAGCTGTGTGATAGAGATAGCAGGAATCAGGAGCCAGCTGTTACACTGACCCAGGCTAGTATGGAATTCCTGTCTTTTCATGTTGGTCAGATGACGTGGAGCACAGCTGCGGTGGTTAGGGAGCTGTTCAGAAAGCAGCTGTTTGCTCTCATGGGAACACTGAAAATATGGTTGGTTGGATGTTTAAGTACGGTCACCTGTTATGTAGTTCTGCTGTGTGAGAAGCATACATAGACTTCCCCCTGAGTATAAGCCCAGGTGAATCTCATTTACTTCTTTGGCTACTGCCCTCGGCTATTGGGTAGCTCTGCTATAGGAAACTTACAGGAAACACAGAAGAGCAACCAAGCATTTGAGGCCAGGCTGGATGGGGCTGTGAGCAACCTGGTCTAGAGGGGATTGTCCCTGCCTATAACAGGGAGTTGGAACGAGGTGGTCTTAAAGGTCCCTTCCAAAACAAACCATTCTATGAACCAATTGTTAAACACTCACTGAGAAGGTCAGCTCCCTTCTTGTTCTCCAATTTTAAAATGTGTATTTCATAGCAATTTAAAGTAAGACATCAACTTTTGCACTGATATGCCTAAAGCATTAATTCATCCTCCTATCTGCTGACTCCTTAAAGGAAAAGATATCTTTGGGAGGTAACTTCTCGAAGGCTTGCTCAAAACTTGCCAGAGCTCATTTGTCAGTGCCTTGAGGCAAGCCTTTCATCTTTCAGTCACATAATGACAAGAGAACTGTATTTTAGATGGCTCTATTTACATACATCAGCAACACACTTAAAATATGTATTTTTTTCTACTAGCCAGCGTGAGCAGTGACTTCTCATTGCTTACTACCAGTCAGCAAGTATTTCAATAGGTTTCCAGAAAGCTCAACTCCTCTAAGAAACTGGTGTTTGAAATCTTGCTGTAAACACACATGCAGTGCTCAGGAGGATTCTTCTCAGTATCAGCAGAATGGATCGGGCCTTTTATGGAGATACCACTTCTAGACAAAAAATGAATGCAGTGTGCTAGCACAACTTCAAAGGAGAAAGCAACAAACCAAACCTCTCCCAGGCCTTTCAGCATGACTAATATTCTAAGTTCTAGCAAAAAGACTAAGAATCTCCACAAAAAAAGCAGACAGAAGAATCAGTGCAGAATCAAATCTCTTCAAAGCTGGTCTTGATTTAAATAGAGAACAGTTTCATGAATGCAATTAATTCCAGCATAAGAGAAATTGTATTTTTAGTTTTCTAATACCCAAATTCCCTGCATCAGGGGCTGTTTTTATGGGGGCACTCCCAGGCTGAGCACACAGGCTCTGGCTGGGAGCCTGGCCAGCTCTTGAACTAAGAGCCCTCAGAGATAGCACTAATGACTTGAGATAGTTTTTAGAATAGCAGAAAGTCTTTATTTCCATTAGGGGACTCCAAGAACAAACACCTGTGACTAAGGCACAATGTAAGGGGGGAAAAATGCATATTCACTAAAAACATAGTGTATGAAAATAACAATTGCACTTGCATGAAGGTAACTAACTCTGCTATCACATTGTGACTGTGTTTTTATTGGCTCCCAGTTCCCACAGACTTGTACTACGTGGTCCAATGTAAGCCCACATTCTCCTGCCAGCTTCTGGTCTGTTACAGCAGCCAGAGGGCCTACACCAACTGTCAGGGATTAGTGGACTACCGTGCTTTGTGTTCTGCTGAGTAACTGTTCTCTGAAATACTGTGGTAGCATTCCCTTATAAATGTACCACTTCTACAGACTAAAAAGGCCACATCTACCTACAGCACATGGTAATTCCTCCCAATAAAAAGCTGGGGAGGCTTATCTGGACGTCAGTCTGAAGAGTATTTGCTGTAAAAGTAACAACAGATGAAAGGGGTTTTCATGTCATCTCCAGCACAAAGATGATTTAACTCTTGCCTGGATTTAAATACCTTTCAAGGCCTGTGTATAAGATAATGCAATTTTGTTGCTTACGAAGATTTTTATCTCAAGTCATGCGGCATCTACCTTTTAAGTGGTATTGAGTTCTCAGAATAGATACCTCATGTCTTGGAAGTGAGATCACTATTAATTTCAGCAAAAGGTAGATATGGTGCATAGACTAGATTTCAAAAAAACAAACCAAAAAACAAGTTAGTGGATATCTATCTTAATGGATCTTCACATGAAGGCTTCTTAAATATGCTTGACAAAAGCAACTTTGTTTCAGTCAATGACACTTAAAGTTACGTCAGCACAGCGCATTGTACAAATCAGGCTTTCAGTTTGAGATCCAACTTTGTAAGGCCTTGTGCTAATGTTCAGTTTCTTGAAAGAATGGCAACAATTGCAGAATCTGGTCTCTAAATGAGAAGATATACAGAAGTAAAAAAAAAAGTGTGATAGCTATTTACTACAGATTCCTTTTTCCACTTCAGATCAATCTCAGATGCCTTTTAGAAGTGGTCACAGTATCATTTCTGTGGAACATCTTCCCTTAAAGCAGGAAAAAAAGGGGAAAAAGCACAAGTACAGGACAACAGTGTGTTCCCATTCTTACTTATAAAGAAGTGAGCAGATTTGTTCCCTCTGAAGCAAGAGGGCAACACACTTTACAAATGATGTAATCCCTTAAAATCAACCCAAGGGAACAACAACCATCAAAGGCTTACTGACAGTGGCTGGCAAAAACCAAGGTTTCTCCACATTACAGGAGATGTTGAGCAGTACTTGCTTTTTTTCTTGCACTGCAGGAAAGAACTTATGGAGATGAAATGTAATTATTTTGACAAGTTAAAACACTGTTAAAGGCTTGGCTTCAGTTCAATTCCCCATTTGCACGGACTTGGCACAAAAGCACCTAATTTTCCAGAATAAATCTGATGCTCTTGAGAGCATTAGCTCAAGACTTTGATGAAAACAAAAGCCTCTTTCATAAGCATCTCTAAAACCATGACTTGTATCCAGTTCTCACTTCTACAGATAATTAAAGGATCTTCCTGTAATCCAGAATATGCTTGCATATCCAGAGGCTTAGAATTAAAAACTCTAAAGGAAATAGAGCCTTCTTTTTATTAAACTGCGCTCACAGAATGAGATGGTCACTGAAGATAACTAACATATGCAGCAAAAAAAATAAGCTAAAACAAGCAAAACCATCCTTTGATTTTTAATAACTTTGGTCCTCCTGTAAAGATTCCCATTACCAGACAAGTTACCTATATGTTCCTGAGCTGGCTGTTTGCATCCTTTAATTGGCATAATTGTTTCTGGAAACCAGAAGCATCTGCTGATAGGCTAGGCTGCTGCATTCAGCACTTCCCATGCAGATATTCTACACACATCAGATACTTTTTAATGCAGCTGACTTTTTTCATTAGGTATCAACAGACACCTTTAAGCAGTTGGCAGTTGGCCTGCCTAACTCATTGACAAAGTTTATTAGGAATTGGTAACTACAGTACATCTGCGACAAGTGCATACTGTACTCTCAACAAGAACATAAACAGTAAAAAGCAGAACTTTGAGTTCAGTGTTTGTTCATGGGATGGTAGAAAAAGTATTGAAGTGACTGAAAGCTGCAGGACAAAGTCAAGAAGCACGAAATGTCGTCATTTTTTTTCCCTAAATGAGTTTATAAAGGCTTTTTTGTTTGTCTTTAAAGCAATAGCTTTAGCAATATTTTTATTATAACTGCATAGTACCATCTTCATTTTCCAGCAAGTATACAAAGAATAAGCATAACATAACCTTTAAGAATACAGCTTTAATATTTCCTTGTGATTTTTACAGCAATAATTTCTGAATTTAGTCAACCAGAAACTGACTTTCCTGCCTCTCTTTCTTGACAACTGCAATTTAGTATAGCACTGTAATCCATCCCTCTGCTAGTCACCAGTACTGCCCTTTAAAACCTCCTCAGGTCTCTGCCCCTGGTGCATGAAGTTTACCTGCAGCTCTCTCTCTTTACCTTTATCCTCCATGCACACCACACGTGCCAAACCAATTTATAAAGTGGCCAAAAATCACACTGACATAGCAGCAGCCTTTGCACCTGCCAAGTCAGCAGTGTGAAACTTTGCTTGTGTGACATCTATACAGCAACCATACATACTGCAAAACAGTACTCTAGATTTAAAAAATGGTTTGATTACTTAACATGCTATATTGCAATCATTAAGACAATAATTTGGAGCACCAAGGAACTTTCAGAACACAGCATCTTATTACAGCTTAATTATGGACGAAGTCTAGCCTTCTCTCTGTGTTGATCTGCATTTCAAAAGCCAATCCAAAACCTTTACGTGTAGGTCACTGCTACAGAGCAGCCATTGGCAATTCAGTACCCAAGTGCTCTCCAACAGTATGCAATGCTGCACATCAGCTGGTTGGGTACTCTACTGCAGCAGATGAGCCTGTGTTTTGTGTTAGAGACCTCAGCAAATCTAAGAACTCTGTTGTTTCTAAGTAGACTGTGATTATTTAATGTCAGTGACAACAGGTAGCTATTGAAGTGGATTGCTTTGCCATATTTAAATGTCAGTACAGACAAGTCTTTGTGTGGCTCTGGCTTGTTTTATGCCTTTTGTCTTTTTAAGCCAAAACAGTAGCTGGACATACAGTACACCAGTAGCATATTTACATAAAAAACAAAATGTGGTTTTAAGTATACATGGTCCAGTATCAATTTCAGCTACTGAGTTGTCAAGCATGAAAGCATTTGCAAAAGACAAAGTTTTCATCACCCTACCAGAGGTAAGCACGCAAAAAAAAGTCAAAGCCTAGAGGGCATGGGTCTATTTTTGACAGTGTTATTTATCAAGCTGGTTTTTATCTACCTGTTCAGCTGGTTGACATCCCACTTGCCTCATGTAACATTTGACAATGCACAGTTCACAAGTAGCTAAAAATGATGACTGGATAGTGGTTGGTTGCATACTTCTATTAACAGGCAAGAGCCTCTAGATTTAGTCCTGCTGATATACTTCAACTCTGCCTGAGGCAAGGATGGGAAAGGCCCCCCTTTCTAGTATGCAATAGTTCAAGTACTGAAAAAAAGTCTGGTATTTTTAATCAATATTTGCCTAACCAGAAAAACTGCTTGAGCACTGCTAACTGTATACAGCAGGTGTTGCTTTAACATTTCAAATAGAGAAGCTTAATTATTTACCCAATATAACATGGATTCTACAGATGCATTACTGCATGTGACCAAAATCAATAATAAAAGCTAAAATTTTGCTAGGTGCAGTGTTAATATACATTGGCAATTTGAACATTCAGTTCAGAAAGCAGCCAATCTTCTAAACCCCACTGAAGTATATTATTTATGTAAATATCTATTAGATCCATTAATCACACTACAGTATTATGTTAATAAATCCTCTCACTGAGAATACATCAGCATAACATATGAACACAACAAAACCTATATGAAATTTTATTACAACTTTCCAGAAACATGCTTGTGGCCCACCAAATTCACACACAAGTACTGTAGAATTGTAAAGATTTGTCGTCTTAGTGTACTTTAGTGTGTAAGAATAGTTTCTTGTTCAATTCCCAAAAATAAATATAAGCTTTCAATTGAAAGCATTTACTTTCCTAGTTTTCCAAAGTGGAGTCTGGGGAGGAAGATGCTCTAGACTTGTCAACAGTCCACTTCGGTATGTAAAAGCATCTCCTGTCCCACTGTTTGTTCAAATCCAAGAGATGTTTTCTTCCAGTGAAATCCGACCGGAGCGCTCCTTTATTTTCAGCAGTTCAGTCTGTTTCCATGGCAGCACTGCGGGATTCCTTAGCCACCATCAGTCGCATCAGCTGACTGTGGAATTTCTCAATCTTCTTTACATCTTGCGCCTGGTCTGTTCTATACAGCAAGCACTGCAAGAGAAAGTTGCTTAATATCAGATTCCACTTGCACTGCTTTTACCCCACTTACAGCTGCAACAAATTTGTGCTTGAACCAACAAAACAAGTACTTAATGCACATTTGGGGTATGTTGCTACAATGTGGCAGCAGCAACACTCATCTACCTTCTTTTAAAATGCCTGCTTAATTTTCTTTCAAAGGTTCTTGCCTTCTGTTTTGAAAACAGTGAAGCTCATCGTTTATTATCTTCTCTCTCAAAGAAGGTGCCAAAACTTAAGCTTTAAAGCTGCCTTTAGGGGCACACTTGGTTTAGGTTGAATTTTATCTAGAAAAAGCAGGTTTCACTATCTTGTTCTCTATATCCTGAAAGTGTATCTTTACAGCATTTAACAGTCCTCATACATGCTGCCAGTGACATAAAATCAGTATCTCCCACTGAATAGGATCCCCCTCCCCTAAGTAAAATCCACTTTTAAGATAGTTTAATTAGGAAAATAATATCTAATTAAGATAAAGAAGAATTCCTTCATGTGACCAGCCTGTAAGTGCAAAAGGAACAAGAGCAATATGTTGGTGACTAATCATAAAATGGCTGCTTAGCTTTCATTGCATGAGTAATTTCTTATACCAGCACAGCATCAGTGTGACTGCTCAGACCTACCTAACAATTACAAACAACAGTGCTCCATCCTCTAGCACTCTGAATGCAGCAACTTTTGCCAGCAATGAAATTCTATTTGAATTCAGAGATGAGCAGTAGAGAAAAGCTTATTTTTTCCTTTAGCTGTATTAGTTGTATGCTTAGCAGCAAGGAAACCCTTTATTTCCTCCCTTTACAAAACAATCACCATAACAACCTTCCACAACTGACAGCAGGTAAGAAGGCCTGCAAATAAAAAAAAAAAAAGCTGAAGTTTACAAGTCACAGACACCAATCTTCCATTATTGAAAACTTCAAACTGAACTGCTTTCTACTTCCCTGTTATTAGCACACCATGATCAGCATCTCATTCAAAATAAGCTCTGTCACACCACCAAGAAGTCATTACTGGAGTTTTGTATCTTGCCCAAGTGTTGGAAATACCAGTGTCAGACTATTCCTGGCAAGGAAAAATCAGGTTTTTCCAGATCTCAGTGTAAGGAATGGGCATACTACTGTTGCTTACTTGGGTTGCACAAGAATAACCTGGCTGTAATGTTATTACCACCAGGACTCATTGCTGGCATGTACTTCTGCATGTAGATAAATTCTATTTCTACCTGCTGCCCTCTTCTAACCCCTCAAAAGTTCTAAGCTCCCTTCCAGGTTATTTAGACCAAGAGTAGTAAATGAATGCAGCTCAAGTGCTTCTGAATGCATAAGAAATGGTTGTGGTAGCATAATATTATTTCAGAGGATGGGATCTTTGTGCTGTCAATGAATGTCACATTTCACTGTGACAACACTCTAGTGTCTTCTCATCACAAAGCAGCAGCTTACCCTATAGATTAAACCTGTCACTGCTTTGAGCAAAGTGAAGGGACCACACTCAGTAGTAAATGTCTGTTTGAAGATGCTCCTGAAACACTTCAGCAGAAAGTACCAATGTAGTTCCATGAAGATGATGTGTTTTTTTTTTTTGTAGTGCTCAGATAACTATTTCAGGATTCTACAAAAACAAAGATATGGGGAGACCTTTTAAGAACACTGAAGCGTTTGTTAGAGCTGCTTGTGGACATTGTAGAGCTGAACTACAGAGGTCAGTTTCAGTCACAGACGATAATCAGGGAAACCTGAGCAAAACAAGGTTCTAGAAAACTGTCAGGTACTCAAGGCAATGGCTAAGAGCTCATGCTTGCAAAAAGCAAATACTTGAAATCCAGTAAGCTCTGAGAGTGTGTTCTGTACTTACAGCTACATCATCCGTTACTTTGATACAGAGGTTCCCATCACAGTGTCGATATTTGAGAACAACTCGCACCTGAAATGACAAACATTTTAAGAATTAATATTTAAATTACTTGCTATAGAATATATGAGGGAAGAGTGCCTGAGTTCAGACTGCCTTTATTAGAATTCCACACTGCTTCAGTTTCACTGCTTCTCAGTGGAATCCAGCTCCGCTGTCTGTTAACCTTACAGACAAGATGGCTTGGAAGTTAAATCACTACATTTCCTTGCCTAACATACTAAATCAGTACTACAGTAGCACCAGGCATGTTACAAACCACACTAAATACAGCAGTGACGTGTGCAGGAACTCCAATAACAGATAAATAGATGACAAGAGTCCAGACAACATAAGACACTCTCACCATATATCACACTTAAGCAAAACTAAGTGGAAGCTTGTGTTTGTAGACAAGAAATGCTTAGGAAAATAGTTCTGTGTGAAGACTTGAAAAGGCTTGACTGAGTGGGATAAGCTCAGCATTACTTGTTTTCTACAGTATCTAATTATGTATTAGGTGAGTATGATGCAAGTGTTCTACTTCCAGTCACTACAGTTAAAATTCAGTAGCTACATTAAAGCCTTACAGGCAGACTTGAATCGTTTTAGTACTTTCACAAGTGGAGAGGGGAGACAAAACAAAACAATTCTAGTGTAATTAAAAAAAAAAAAACCAACAAACAAAAACAGAAGACTGAAGAGGGCTCTTTCAAATTGTTTTCAAGACTCAACAAGGCTAGGTTTGAAGTTGGGAAGCAAGCTTTCTACTTGCTAAAAACAGCTCCTACCACAGTAACCTGCCCTGAGATTCAACCTATCCACAGCCCTTCTGCATTCTCCAGTTACAAAAGCTCTCAAAACCACTGTGATAAAAATCAGCTCTCAGCAACTGACTAAGCATTGAATGATTCCTCCTGAACACAGAACTGATCAAGGGGGCTTCTATTGTTTCTGATCTCAGCTGGCATTAGTATCTATAAACAAAGCAACTTGTGCTTTTGAGAACATTCTGAACTAAGACAACCCATGCTATAAACAGTTCTTTGTTGACCTATGATATGGTCAACAATCACCATGACTACAAAACACGTTTTGAGACTGTCTCTGTGAGAGATCTCTTCACAGACTTATCTTCTTGTTCAAGAAAGCCTTCTGACCACAGCATCTGTGTAACTACACCTTTCAGCCAGGCAGGCCCAGAAGCACAACAGAGGCTGTTACAGACATGGACTAGGTAAATTGCTCCCACTAAAACAAGACCACTTGCTATCCAGCCTCATCAGCTCCCAAACAACACAGACCTATCTCCTACAGTTCTCAGCTTCTTGATAAGTGCAACTACATACAAAAGCTTCTCAGGCAAGTTAAAGGAGAGTACTCTAAGTGTGATTCTGGAGCCTATGTAAACTCTTTTGTAAATAACCAAGCCATGACTGAGTGTGAAGGAAGATAGTGCCTTTAAGGTCCCTTATGAAAAGAGGGAAAGCTGCTCCTGGCTGCAGCGACCACCTTTCCAAACTCTTAATTTAACTGGATATTGCAAAGTGTTATATAACAAATTATTCTGTTTAGTTTCTTATCAGTAGGTAGGAGGCAATCGCACAAGAAATGGTTATTAATGCTAATGGCAAACATGCATCTAGGTCTGGGACCCCCAGCACGTGAAAGAAGTGTAAGTTTTGTTCTGTTTAGAGAAGGCTCTGACCTCATTGTGGCCCTCCAGTACTTAAAGGGAGCTTATAATCAGAATGGAAACCAATTTTTTATGTAGGTAGATATAAAATGAGCAAGGATGAACAGTTTTAATCTAAAAGAGGGGGAGATTTAGGTTAGACATCAGGCATAAGTTTTTCACTGAGAACATGGTGTAGCACTGGCACAGCTGCCCAGAGAAGCTGAGGATGCTGCAACCCTGGAGGAGCTCGAGGCCAGGTTGGAGGGAGCCCTGGTGGGCAGCCTGAGCTTGGGGGGGCAGCCCTGCTCATGGCTGGAGGCTGAGACTGAATGGGCTTTAAGGCCCCTTTAATGCTATTCCATAATTCTGTGATGCTACTTCTGGTGAACGAAACTAAGCCTTTCTTACTGGTGTCTTCTCAGGCTTGTGAGTCCTGTTACCTTCTGTATGATTTTTTTTAGCTGAAGGTTTTTAATGTTTGGACAAACTGAAGAAAAAAGTTACTGGAAACAAAAAGCAATCATGTATTAAGAAGTTAATTCCTAGAGCAATTACTCTCCAGGAAACAAAGCCCTTCCAGTCTGAAGTGATGCTGTGGACAACAGTGTGACGTGGGAGCTAATCAATGCTTTGGTCTGGATCTCCAGAGGTCCCTCCCAGCAGCTCTGTGATTCCTTTAACTCAAACAGACATGGTCTCGTATGCTGTAAGCCAGCTCTCAATATACTCTCATTCAAGAGAACTGCTTTAATCCCCTTCCCGGATGTCACGGTGCACCTGCTGTACAGAGGTACCACAGGCACACCCAGGTCAGCATGCACACAAGTTCTCTGAGATCAGGTCCTCGCGGTCCCCACGTGTCACGGGTAACGCGGTTCCCAGTGCAAGTTACACGGGACTTGGTTCTACTTCTCGGAGCGTGACGATGATGTGTCGGCAAGGAGCTCCCTCCTTACCGCTCCATTTTTATCCTTGAAGGCCACCAGGATTAACGCAGGGAAATGCTCTCCTCCGCCTCAGGCTGAACAACACGGCGGCGAGAGCCCCAGATGCGCCACGTTACTCGAGGCCTCCCTTGGGAGCCGGAGGCCTGGCCCACCCGCCAGACCTACTCAGCCCGGCGCTGCCGCCACCCACCTTCATGGGATCGGCGAGGTAGAGCTTCTCCGCGGCGCGAGTGAACTCCTCCCAGGCCTGGTAGTGCGGCATGGCGGGGCCGGCACGGCGACTCGCTGCCCGCCGCTACGCTCCGTTCCGCTCCTCCCGGCGCCGGCAAGATGGCGCCCTAGGCGGGCACCGCTCACCGCGAAAGGACGCCTGCCATTGGCCGGTGAGGAAGCGGCTGTCCAATCACGAAGTGCGTGACTCAGAGATTGTGGCCCCGCCGGGATGGCCCAGCCGGCACAGCGTCCCCGCCAGGAGCGGCGGACTCCGGAAAGGCTCGCGCAGGTGGCGGCTCCGCCTCCTCCGTGGGTTCGCGGGTTCGAGTCCCGCGGCAGCCCGGCGTTGGACGTTCCGCTGGCTGACGGGATCCGGCGTCGATGGGGTGCGCGTGTCCCTGTTACTGGTACCCATGGAGGAGTGTGGGAGCTGAGCACCAGCTCCAGCCTAGCATGTGAGCAGTGCCACAAACTGTGAAATTAAGGGAAAGGCACGGGCGTGGTGGTCATACATTCTATTCTTGATGATATGTTGTGCTGCTTGAGAACCCATCTTCACAGATGTGTTGTCTTTCAGATCAGAGGCGACAGATGTATTGGCGGAGTCTGAACCCGCCGTCCCAAACACAGAAGCTAACCTGGGGGGAGCACTGCTCTGCCATCTTGCATTTGGGGCCCCTTTTATAACTGCAAAGTAGGAATTGCTTGTTGGTAGTTTTATAGACCAGAAGGGCTGTAAATATGTGAAAGTGAAAAGTGTGGGAGGTGCAAACCCTGTAACACAACCCAGCACTTCACGGAACCGTGGCACGCCAAGTTTGGAACCTGATTTTTCAAATCAGATGTGGATATTTTCTTTCTGAAGGAGGAATCCCAGCGTTGGGTTGTCAAGTCAGGAGCAACTTAGGGTTGATTTTTAGAGGATTTTCATCTTAATGTAAATGTTGAAGATCCTTTGTACATTCTTCAACGCAAGAGCTGGCTTAAGAGCTTGTCAGCGCTCAGTTATTAGCCTCGTTGTTTGTAATTTCTTCAGTTAAGCCAATGTAACAGAGAGTGGTTAGGAAAAACAACGCATTTTGAGATTTCTTTTTTCTTAACCAGCATGATTTCTGAGATCCAGTTTAGTATCTTCTAGAATTCTTGTATGTGCACGCTTTTAGAGACGGCAGACTGCAGGAACCAGGACAAGAAACTGAGAGAAGGATTTCTTCATTGCCTCATCTCTGAAGAAAATGTGGTGTGTCCCTCTGACGGTTGCATACAACGTGATGTACAGTTCTACGTAGCGTGTTCTTGGCTGCAGGTTTTGAGGATTTCCTGCTCTCTGCCACCGCCACCTATGGCCCCACACTTGTGCTGCCACAGCTGTTTGTGACTCCAAGCTGGGGATCAAACCAATGACCTCAAGTGGATTAAAAGCAGCACCATTTTTAGTAACGCATTTTTTAATCAAGGTCAGTTCATTTTTCCAGTTGACTCTGTGGCCGTATGGACTGCTGTGCTGACGTAGCTGTTGAAAATGCACCTTTTTTGGTGGCAAGGCAGGATGTGGGAATTTCTTCTGTTTTTGCTGGCGTGGCACCAAAACCAGGGGGTTGTACATGAAAACCCCAGCTCTCCTGGAAGAGAAGCTGTTTGCTGCAATCTCAACAATTAAGAAGATAGGCTATTTCCAAAACTCAGTGGATGTCTGGAACCAAGAGCTGGTGTGCTGCTTCACTGTGTTCTCATGTCCCTGAAGAACAGAACATTTTCTTGACATGTTTGAAAAGTAACCCAGACCGTTGCAGTTATTCATCTGTGAGTTGCATTTTATGTGTGTCCAAAACTGTATTTTTCAAGTAAGTTCTGGTGAATGCAGTAATAGTAGAAATCTTTCAATGGGCTTTTTGTTTGGTGAAATAAAAAGAACAGTTGTTTATCACTGTGTGAAATATTTGATAGTTAGCCAATAATAATTTAGCAGTTAGAAAGAATTCTGCGAAAACACACATACTTATCTTGCTTACTTTTCTTGAGCTCCTGCTTTCTTTCATGCAAGAAATCATTCCAACAGTCTAGTGGCTATTCTGTCACTAAATAAATGATATTAGGAATGCTACAAAACCTCATTGATCCCTCTGTCTCCTTTTATATCCTTGCTATATTCCCTAGGCCTCCTTAGCCTTAGTCTTTTTAGCTTGGATTTAAGGCCATAAAGAACTATGAAGCAATAATATAATTACTTGTGCGATGAAGATTTTTTGTGTGGTTTTCCCTCAGGCCTTTCCCCCTCATTCAGCGTGCATATACATGATGAATGATCTCTCTTTGATCGTGCTTCTACATGTATTGCCACTGCAAGTCCTGCTCTGTGTAGTTATTATGTTCAGGCACCTGGATTCCACATGGAAAGGTTGTTATTTTCTTTATCTAGTGTCTTCCTTGCATAAAGGAAGAAAAAAAAGAAGAAAGAAAACAGTAGAAAAAGACCTTGCACTTAAAATATCATCCACTGAGATCCTGAGTTTAGAAAGATCATGGAAACTGTAGCTGCTCAGCATCACTCAGGGTTCAATATTTTGTCACAGTTCACTTATTAATACCTTTATTTAGCCTAAAGCAGGTACTGTATTACTATTTGCAAGTGTATTTTTCAGGTAAGTGTATTGAATTCATTAAAACAGTTCTCGATCACCACAGCATGCTGCTGGTGGTTCCTTCCAGCTGAAAGTAGCTTCGTATAGAACACTGTACGTTATCATGATAAGTGATGTTGATGACAGTTGTGATGGAAAACAATAGGACAAACTCTGATCTCAGGTGGATTGGGGTTTTTGTTTTTCTTTTTTCATATCTGTAGCAGTTTAATTAAGAACAGAAGTTGATGCTGAGCTGATGATGCTGTTCTTGGAACAAGAGCAACATAAAGTCAGTGGAGTTATACAGGTCTAAAAAAGTTCTAATAAGGAGTTAGTTACGAGGCAATTATTACTGCCAGGAATGCTTAGTTCTTTAAGGAGATATAGTCAGTTCTTTCAAAATATCTTCCCTTGGTGAAATTAAAGGAAAAGCATGGGCATGGTGATTACACATTCCATTCTTGTGTGTGTATGTTCTAAAACGGCTTGGGATTTGTACTGATGCAAACTTTAATTATGTGGGCTTATTTATGTGCATGAGGGTGCAGATTGATCTTGAGGACAGGCAGCTCAGTGGTTTTTGACATCTCATTGGTTTTTGAGCCTCAGTACCCATGAGAACTGAGTCTGCAGTCAGAAGCAGTTGATGCTCCTGGATGGGTTATAACATGCCAAACTGAGCTACCATTTTTTTTCATTCTGCAGCTCTTGAAGGAGCACAAAACACACTGCTGCTTTCTATGGGTTTTATGTTTTAAACAGCTTGGTTAATGGTTTTGCCGGGCTGAACAGCATATGATTAATTACATCAGTGCTAATTTCCTACCTTTTTTGTACATAAGCATTTAATCAAGTGATTCAAACTCATGTTGTCCTAACAACAGCATAATTAAATACTGGTGTAACTGAGCAAAAGTATGGCTTATGGCAATGAAGGCTGTATGGGGTTGACAGGATTCTGGGCTGTTGTTCACAAATCTACGTGCCTGTCCCAGCCAAGTCACAGCAACTAGTCAGGATGAGACCTGAATGCCCATTAATTTCCTTCCTTTTTCCCCAGTGGCCTTATTTCTGGGAAAGGAAACACACTCCAAACAACTCTCTGGGTCACTGGGGAATCGGAAGCCTTGGCTGTGCCATCATCTCTGTTTGCCATACATTATAGCCATAGCCTTCCCCAAGGCAGCATTATCTGCTAGTTTGCTTTAACCATTTGAAAAAAACACTGGCCATTTAATATGGTTTAATCTAATCTTGCTCTATCTTAGGGTGTTTATATAGGTACATTGCATGAGCTGGAGGACTGTCCCTACATATGGCCATGTTGCCTTAATAGAAACTGCTGTTTCATTTTTGTATGCTGTTCTGATGCAGTTCTTGTTAAGTTCTTTGTTTTTGATAGCTAGAAATATATATCCCTTCCTGTTAAGTGGTCAGTTTAGTCCCCTCAGCATAATAGTGCATTTAAATGAATGTCTTGTTATGCAAGAGACATATGTTGGAGTGCAGACTGTATCTTGTCATAACGTTGATTGTTGAGATTTGAGAGTGAAATAGCAGTCCTCGTGATCGCCTTCAGGGTAAAGAGGAGCACATCTGGTAGACAGCTCATGGACCAATATGTCAAACAGGAAGCAGACAGGCACTTAGCACTAGCTACTCAGATTTCATGTCATCATTACATGAAGTTTCTGTGCATGCATAGGATTGGGTTAGATCATCAGTTTGTACAGACTGGAGGTGCCCTGATTTCTTACGTTAATATTTAAATAGAGACATTTTCTACTGAATAGACACGTCTTAAGTCTGATTTACCTGTGATGTTGATGGTGCTATGGCTGATAGAACTGAATAGTACAACCAATGGAACGGGCAGGCCGTATTAGATGCTTATGGCAATACCTTCTGAAGTCATCTGGCCCAGAATAACTGTATAGGTGGTGAAAGTGCTGAAGGTACTTCTACTACATTGATTTCTAAGACTAAACTACCTCAGCCCATAAGATGTTTGAGCACCATAAGATTGAGCATCCCCATGAGTTAGCGGTTGGTAAAAGGGGTCGGTAGGCCCAGCCACCTGTCACTGCCTTTTCCCAGGAACTAATGCCCTCTCCCAATCTGTTTACAGAGATGCTTGATGCCCCTTAACCCACTTCAATCAAACTGGGTTAGCAAAAACCTCCCACTTAATCCATTTAAGCTAAGTCTGGCTCAGGTTGACCAAAAGTAGGTTAGGGGGTGCCCACACGAGCCTCTGCAAGCAGAGCTGAAGAGGTGGTGATTTCCACAGGAAGAAATAGGATGAGCTGAGCCGGGGAAGTGGATCTGAATCAGCAGCAGCTTCTATCCCCTCAGCTGCGTCAGAAGAGGATGGAGCAGGGCCTGTTCCACACAAGGGCTGTGCTGGGCCACTTGGCTGGCAGCACGACATCTGAAGCCGCAGTAGCACAGCTGTTATCCCATAGTCCCATTCTCATCATCACAACATTAAAAAAAAAACTTTGCGAAGACCAGCTGTTGCCTCAAGCACGAAGCAAAGCCTCTGCAAGCTCCTGCACTTCCACTGAGCGTTGGTTCTTGGTCAAGAGTAGGTGCAGCTGGAGCTCACAATTGAGTTTGACCAAGTGTCAAAGTGGATGCTCAGTATTGGCGTTGCCAGTTCCTAAAACAACCACAGGCATGCACATTGCTCCTCTGATGCCTACAGTATGGCAGCTTTCTATAAAATATATCTGATACAGAGCTTTTGTAGCTGTCAGGCTTGTAGGCCCACGTAGAGCATATGCAAAAGCTGGGATCTGTGCTGGAAGTGCTTCCATACTTCCGACATATGGTGTTGCTGTTACGATCCCTGTCAAGGAAATAGCAAGTATTTACCTGGCCCGTCGACTAGCTTTAGTCTGCAGAGAAATTTTAACTTCAAATCTGTAAATTTAGCTTTTTCATAAAATTTGGAGCATGTTAAAAATAGGGAAGGGGAGCTTGGCAGGGTATAGGTGTGGGAGCAGGGAGAATGTTGTATAAATGATACGTCAGGGTTGTGACTTTATACCAAAGGGCTAATTCCTAATGAGATTTGAAATGTGTCCTGACAACTGCATTCTTGCTAAAGTATTTTCTTCTCTACATCAGCAACTTTTCGTGATCTCTTTTTTTTAATTATTGTTGTTACGCAAATCAAATAAGTAAAAATTCAAGCGATCTACTTTAGGAATGAATTAGAAAGTGTCCGCTTCTTTCATGTGGCAGGATTTTAGGCATTGTGCAGATACCAGAAACGTGTATGAAAAGATTGTGAGTGAATGAGGAAATATCTACTGCTCTGTTCGTTTTAGGGCGTGGAGGAAGATGAGAGGCCTGCAGGAAATTCACAGCCTGGTGCTGACACTGCCTCCCTATCTCAGCCTCTTACCTCCTGCTGGATGGGAGGGACAGGAGCTGGGAATGGTAGCTGATGTTTTCTGAGAAATCTCTATACCAGATCTCTATTTATCAAGATTCAGCCAATCTGTGTCCCCTTTATGCGCACAAAGAGATGAGGCAAAGCAGTGCATCTGCTCATACATATTTCAAATCCTTTATTCTTTTTTTTTTTTTCATAGGGCTGTTTTCATTTTTCTTTTAAAACAGTTAGAGTAAATCTCAGTGCCCTAAAGCAAACTCTTCTTCTATACAGTTTACTCTTGTTGACTTAAAAACAAGCATCGTGAGGATGATTTGCCAGCGTAGCATTTGCCATGCAAAATTTACATGCAGCTGCTTTGAACTAAATTCCCGGCAGAAGTGAAAGGATTTTGAGGCTTCCAGATCTTAGCAGGCTGCTGTTTTTTTGCAGACAGAAATCTATATGATATATTCTTCTCTAGAGATCCCTCCCTGCCAGCTAGGACTGTACTATCCTGCTCCAATCCCACTGAGACATATTATCGGCTTATGGGAGGGGATGCTTCTGGACCAAGTAAGTTAATTAGCTTTGCTTGGGAATGTCTTCTACTGAAGTAACTGATTATTTTCTTGAGGGGAGGAAAATTCTTATCTTTAGAGCTGAAAACAGCAAAAACATGCAAATCTGTGCAAACCTTGATGGCCGTTTCTCTTCTGTGGGCAGCACTCCTCTCACACGCAGGGCAAATTTTCCAGCAGTTCTGCAGTAGTTGTAGATTGAATCATAAATCTAGTCTTACGGATTGAGAATATGCTCAGGAGTGTTTGAAGGCCGTTTTCAAATCAGGTGTTGATAATTTCAAGTAAGATAGTCCTACTCTGTCTGTATCCACCCTCACAGTA